TAATATCACAAAGCCATTAGGTCTCACCATCATTAATTTTGAATGATAGACAAGGGAACATTTACATCAACATTTTGATAACACTAAATAGGGCAGAGTGGCTTGTATGTCTACATTTCAGAAATGACCTTGTCTAATAAGTTGAAGGCCATAGACAAAAGCCAAGTGACTTTGCAGAAAGATGGGCCTGTTTAAGCATTGCAGGAGAGCTCAGATGAGTCATCACATAAACACTGATGATGATGTCTTTCATCCTAAGCCTTCCCTAGTCTTGTCAAAATCCAAGAAAGGAGAGAAAATTGCCTGAGGGGCAGGTGGTGCCATTTGTTGCCTGCCCCTCCACCCCCTAGTCACCAAGGGCACTCCACAGAGCAGCTTCTGAGCTGTGACCAATATGCTTAGCCTTAAAGGAACAGAAGTGGTTAGGAGCAGAGAGAAAGAAAGAGAATGAGGAGCATGTGAGAAGGTTAAGAAAGGAAGAATGAATAGGCAAAGAAGGTCCTCAAAGAAGTTATAACAAGGAAGGAAATCCAAGGGAGAAGCCACAGATGCCAGCAACAGTGAAGGGAGACAGGGATGAAGAGAAAATGAGAGAAGCAACCACAGAAGAGGAAGCCGATGGATTTATAGCACAGACTGTAGAGCCAAATAGATCCAGGGTCACTCCACCAAGAAAACAATAAATCTTAAAGTTATGTGCACCAAAGAACAAAATAGCAAAATGTGTGCAACAAACACTGATAGAACTGAAAGGAAAAGTAGACAAATTCCTAAGAATGAGAACAAGGCATGGATGTCCACTTTTAACTACTTTTATTCAATATAATGTTGGAAGTTCTTGTCGGTGCAGTAAGTGAACACAAAAAAATGAAAGGCATACAGATTGGGGTAAAAATTGTCCATATTTGTAAATGACACAATTGTCTACATAGAAAACCCAAAGGAATCTGCAAAAGCAAAACAAAAACCTCTTAGAATTAATAATAGTTTAGCAGGGTTGCAAGATGCAAGATAAACATACATAAACAAATTCTATATCTATTTACTGGCCATAAACACATGCACATCAAAATTTAAAATATGATACTATTAAAAAATCACTCAAAACATTTAAATAGTTAGGTATAAACTCAACAAAACATGCATAAGACTTGTATGCTAAAAACTACATACTGCTGGTGAGAGAAGTCAAAGATCATCTAACTAAATGGAGAGGCATACCATGCTCATGAGCTGGAAGACAATAGAGTATATATGTCAGTTCTCCCCAAGTTAACATACAGATTTAAAGATTCAATGCAATTCCTGTGAAGATCCTAGAAACATTTTTTGTAATTATAGACAAGATTATTCAAATTTTATATGGAAATGCAAAGAAACTAAACTAGCTAAAGCAACTTTGAAAAAGAAGAATCGTGTGGGGGTGCCTGACTGGCTCAGTCAGGGAAACATGCAACTCTTGATCTTGGGGTTGTGAGTTTGAGACCCATGTTGGGTATAGACGTTACATAAAAATAAAATCTTAAAAAAAAAAAATCATCTGGGAAGAGGCAGTCTACTCACCTTCAAGGTCTATTTTATAGCTACTGCTATCAAGACCATGTGATATTGGCAGACAGAAGAGAGAAAGCAGCAATAGAGCCATATAATTATGTCAACTGATATGCACAAAGGTGCAAAAGCAATTCAATGGAGGAGAGATGGACTTTTTTTTTTTTGGAATATTATGCCCTTTATTCAGATTCCCCTCATGTTGCCATTTTGCCCCATTTTATCATTTGCTTCCTTTATGTTTTTTTTTAATTTTTTTTTATTTTATTTTTTATAAACATATAATATATTTTTATCCCCAGGGGTACAGGTCTGTGAATTGCCAGGTTTACACACTTCACAGCACTCACCATAGCACATACCCTCCCCAATGTCCATAATCCCCCCAACAACCCCCCTCCCCCCATTAATCCTCAGTTTGTTTTGTGAGATTAAGAGTCACTTATGGTTTGTCTCCCTCCCAATCCCATCTGGTTTCATTTACTCTTCTCCTACCCCCTTAACCCACCACGTTGCATCTCCTCTCCCTCATATCAGGGAGATCATATGATAGTTGTCTTTCTCCAATTGACTTATTTCGCTAAGCATGATACCCTCTAGTTCCATCCACGTCGTCGCAAATGGCAAGATTTCATTCCTTTTGATGGCTGCATAGTATTCCATTGTGTATATATACCACATCTTCTTTATCCATTCGTCTGTTGATGGACATCTAGGTTCTTTCCATAGTTTGGCTATTGTAGACATTGCTGCTATAAACATTCGGGTGCACGTGCCCCTTCGGATCACTACGTTTGTATCTTTAGGGTAAATACCGAGAGATGGACTTTTTAACAATAGTGCTGAACAGAAAAAAAAAAGAACTTCAACATAAATCTCACACTTTACCTAAATATAGCTCAAAATGGATCATGAAATTAAAAGTAAAATTAAAAATATACAAATTTTAGAAAAAGAGGGGCACCTGGGTGGCTCAGTTGGTTAAGCATCCAATTTTTTTTTTAAAGATTTTATTTATTCATTGGAGAGAGAGAGAAAGAGAGCACAAGCAAGAGGGAGAGGCAGAAGCAGAGGGAGAAGCAGATTTCCTGCTGAGCTGGGAGGCTGACATGGGGCTCAATCCTAGGACCTGGAGATCACGACCTGAGCCAAAGGCAGCCATTTAATCATCCGAGCCACCCACGCACCCACTAAGCATCATGTTCTTGATTTCAGCTCAGGTCATGATCTCAGGGTCTTGGGATGGAGCCCTGTATCAGACTCCCTGCTCAGTGGGGAGTCTGCTACAGGATTCTCTCTCTCCCTTTACCCCTCCCTCTGCTTGCTCTCTCTCTCTCTCTCAAGTAAATAAATAATTTTTTCACAAAAATTTTTTAGAGAAAGAATTAGGAGAAAATTTCAGGATACAGGGCTAGACAATGAGTTCTCAGACTTAACACCAAAGGCCCAACCTATAAATGGAGAAACTGATAAATTGGACTTCATCAAAATTAACAACTTTTCTTCTGTGAAAGATCCTATTAACAGGATAAAAATGATAAGCTATGGAGTGGGAGAAATATTCATAAACCACATCTCTGACAAAGGGCTAAAATTAAAAAACTCTCAAAATTCAACAATCAAAAAGCAACCCATTTAATGCATAGGCAAAGACCTGAACAAGAATTTCATGGAAAAGAAGACATAGATGTCAAATAAGTACATGAAAAATGTTCGGCCTCATTAGACATTAGGGAAATACAAATTAAAACCATAATGAAATGTCACTACATATCTGTTGAAATGGCTAAAATTAAAAATAATGACAACCCCAAATGCTTGCAAAGATGTAGAAGAACTAGATCAATCATCACTACGTTGCTGGTGGGAATGTACAGCTACTTGGTTAGACAGTTTGGCAGTTTCCTTAAACGCTAAACATGCAATTACTATACTCAGCAATCACGTTCCTGAACATGTTTCCTAGAGTAATTAAAACCAACCTTCACAAAAAACCTGCACATTAGTGGTTGTAGCAGCTTTCTTCATGATAGCCAAAAACTTTAAACAACCCAGATGTCCTTCAAGGATGACTAATTGACCAAACCGTAGTACCTCCATACCATGGAGCAATTTAAAAAATAAATGGCCTTTTGATATACACAAAAATCTCAAGGACTCTCCAGAGAAATATGGTGGTTAAAGAAGATAATCCGAAAAGGTTACATACTACATGATTCAACTTATATAACATTCTTGAAGTGAAAAGTTTATAGAAATCTTTTAGGAAGTTGGATGAGGGCAGGAACAAGCAGATAGGACTATAAAGGGATAACATGAGGGGTCCTTGTGGTTACGGAAATATTCTGTACCTTGACCATATCAATGCCAAAGTCTAGTTTGCAATATTGTATGGCAGTTTTGCAAGATGTTACTTTGGGGAAAACCAAGATGTACAAGGGATCTCTGTATTATTTCTTAGAATTGCACAGTAATTTACAATTACCTTTTTAAAAAAGTTTAAAGAAAAATGATATTAATATTTTGTGATCTCTCTGGTAGCTTCTCCACTGTTTCTATTTAAGACCCCATTCGCCAAATGGCAGGACTTAGACCTCAGTCTGTCAGGGCCTCCCTGCTTCCTTAGAACTGAGTTTCAGGGAGGTTAACACAATGCCAGTCCCGCACTTGACATCATCATCTGTGCTGATGTCTACCCAGAGTAGCTTCCAGCCATCTGTCCCCCTAGGACACCGCTGCATCCTCTTCCCTGTTGTGGCTGATGGTTCTGTTCCAGTGTACCACTGGTTCTTCCTCTGTGGGCCGCAGGAACACTTCAGGGGCCATCTTGGATCTATCGGCCAGACACACACAGTGCACATTCCTACTCCACAAGCCCAGGGGTTGAGGGAGCTCAAGAACTGTGCTTGGGTATTGGGGACACCAGTCTCCTTTGTTTTCCTCAGCTTTTCTGGTGTTCCTCAGTTTTTTCAAGACCGAGAGGGAGGATTTAGATGGGGCACGATTAAGTGACCACACAGGGCACATTGTGAACTCTCGTGCCACCACCTGACTCCAGGTTCAAATGGTGGCTAGCAAGGGGCTCTGAGCCTCTTGTCATGTATCCATGGTCATCCAAGTATTCTTGGCTTCCTGTTTGAGTCCTACCTCCTCAATCCAAAGTTTATCCACCCTGAGGGCAGAGGAGGGTATGGGACAGTGGATATAGTCTTCCAAATCCTATATCTTAGGATTCTCACATTTTCTCTCTTTGGTTCTCAGCCTTCTGCTAAACCATCCTTCTGCTGAGGGGATAGCATGGAATCCCTTTATGCTGTTTGAATTGGTCAGATTAGCAGGACATATGGAGGAAAATCCTCTCGTTATTACGTCATAATATTATCCCATGATGTTTTCTGCCATCTTTCTGCCCTCGGTCTGCTCACCCTCTGGCTTGTCTTCTCCTTCAGCTTGTGGCCCAGGTCCTGGAACATAAAGATATAGGCTTTGTGACGGTGGATGCCAAGAAAGAAGCCAAGCTTGCCAAGAAACTGGGTAAGTGGGGCTTTCTGAGGTATACCAGGAAGAAATGAATGTGTCTTGCAAAAAAAGAGTACAGTTTCATTTCTTTGTGCATGATAGCTGGACTGTTTTTAAGCAAATATGAAATGATTCTGCACACCTCATTCTCGGGATGGGGAAGAGTTTCATGAAAGCAGTATTGGCCTGAATTGAATGATTTCACATGAATGATCTAATGTAGCTTTACATCATCGTAGAAACTGACGCAAAAGAGGCAAACCTTTCTTTTTGGCTCCTAGAGGGGGTTAAAAGCCTAGCCTCTTTATGTCACTGCCATGGTGATCTCTCTGGGGAAGAGAAAAATCTCTTCTCCCGTCACTATTATTTCCTTACCTCATGAATTAAGCAGCCAACACAAGATAGCAGTAATAGTAGTGACTCTGGGGTCACAGTGGTTCTACGTGTAAAGCTAAACCTCAGCTGGGCATAATTGCTGAGGGCGAGAGGTAGCATTTAGATGAGGCACGGTGATGCGACTGCACAGTGCATGTTGGGATATCTTGTGTCCATGTGTCTTGCTTAAGTCCAAGTGCACTTTAAGAATCTCACACCCCTAATACCAAGAGAGAGAGAGAGAATATGGGGAGTTCCTCTGCTTGCTGAACACCCACACACGGGTACTGCCCATTTCTGCATGACCAGTGAAGAACGGCTATTTAAAAATAGCAGGAGGTTATAAAACAGGACCTTTGAAGAAAGGTTAATTGGATTTGGAGTAGTAAACACAGTGGGGGAGAAAAGATTAGTAGTGGCATCAGGTACATGGAAGTTCATTATCTGAGGGCATTACAAACAATTGTCCTTTATTATATTTTCAAGAAGACCAGCTTTTTTTTTTTTTAAGATTTAAATTTTTTGCGACTGTATTTAGGTTAGATACAAATAAAAAGTCATGACTATAAAATGATAATGAATTATTAATAATGTCTGGGCTATCGTTTTCCCTGGAGACAAATAAAGGAATATGTTTTCCCTTTGAGCAGGAGAACTAAGTGTGTTAACTCTTTCCCCCGTCAAAAGCAATTCAATGCCATGTTTCTCTTCCTCCAGAATTTATTGATTTCCTAGTTTTCTTTCCTGTTGTTTTCATGGGAAGCTGAATTTGGGAGAACTTCCAGTAAATTTAGTTAGAGGAAAGCACTAGTATTCCAGTGATCTAAAAATTTAGCCAGGGGACAAGCTGGGAGAGCTTTCATAAGAATGGACCAAAGGATATTCTCCCAGTGGATGGAGCTTGAAAAATCGACATGATTTTTTCCTGAAAAGCTCACCCTGGAGGAACTGGGGGAGGTTCTTTTGAACCAAACAGTTCTCGGAGTTTGTAAGAGAGTTGTATTTTGTGAAGCTGCTCCTTCATCTTCTCCTCTCTTCCATTTGCCTGAGTTTTGTCTCCATCAGGCTATGCCTGAACTACTACAAAAGCCTCCCAACTGACCTCACTTAGAGCAAAATCTGACATCGGGATATCGGCTGATGTTCCCAAGGTACCCTTCATGATCAGTCATTGCTGGCCTCAAGGATACCTGGTACAGCGGCCCTTTGGGTTTACAAATGGTGCTCCAGGGTGTGCCCTGGGCTCTTCAGACGTGCTCTGGGTGGGAAAAAGCAGGCGGTGGGCCAGCCTCCTTTTCCCTAGAGATTCTGCAGGAGAGTTCAATTGGAGAAAGCATTCTCCAGCTAATAGAGAGCTTGGAAAAAAATTAATCTAAGGATTCAAGGATGCCATGCAGTTGAACTAAATGCCAGCCTCGGTTATTTAATATTCCTGGGGGAAACAGTTTTCCAGCAAGCATTTGTTAAAGCACACAGTATTACGCCAGGAGCAATGGAGGGTAGAAAAGATGCAGAACCTTCCCTTGTGGCATTATCAGCTAACTGGGAAAAAGAAGATGTGCAGAATTCAGCGATGATAGAAAAGTAAACTTTTCATTCTGGCCACGGACATTTTTGGGGTCCCTGATGTGTCCAGGCTCTGTGCAAGATCCTGGGGTGCTGAGGGGACCTTGGTTCTGCCTTTGGAGAGCTTTCTGTTCCGGTGAGTACTGTAAATGGAGCCAAGAGAAGAACAATAGTGGCAAGAGGGTGGCCTTCTTGGGAAAAATGAGTCCAAAGTGGAGACCCGAAGGAACTGACCAGGATCAGGGTGCAGGGGGCAAGGGTAGAAGTCATTCCAAATTTGGGGAACCAGGAGAATATCTGTGACTTTTCCTTTACACACCCTCTCACATCAGCACAAGGGCAAGAAGCAAGGAAGATGCAGAGGGGATTAAGAGGGCAAGTCTACCCAGGAGAGAATGTGAAGGGTAGAATTGGTGCTAGGTTGTGGAGGGACTGGAATCTGGAATGCCTGGCTAAGAAGTCAAGTGGGCAGGGGGCAATGAAACTTTTGGTAGGGAGAATAGGGTTGGCAATATTTTTGGAAAATTAAAGCAGTGGTAGGGTAGAGAATAGATTTTTCTTTCAAACTGAAGTCCTGGTAGAGCTGCTGGTTCTTAACGATTTCAGTTTAAACATGTGCTTTGGGCACCCTTTACAAGGGTGTTTTCAAGGAACTGATCCTAAGTTGAATGCTGGCCCCACTGATCCTGACCCCACTATCACCGAGGTATCCTGAGCCAGACGTCAGCCCACAGGATGGCTCTTCTTGCATTGGAATGACCTTGTCTTGTGGACTCTGTTTCTTCCAGGTTTTGATGAAGAAGGAAGCCTGTATGTTCTTAAGGGTGATCGTACGATTGAGTTTGATGGCGAGTTTGCTGCTGACGTCCTGGTGGAATTTCTTCTGGATGTAAGCATTTATGCACAGTGCTCCTGCCTGGGGCTCTTTGGGTTCAAATATAAAGGAAAGTGAAATCCCAAAGTAAGAACCAAGAAGCTGGATAATCTGTCCTGGTCTAAGACTGATTCCTTGGGCTTCGCAAAAAACTAAGGAGGACTTACTTTGCAGTCTATTTTCTTCTGGTGGGAAGCTGGTCCTTAAGTTACCTCAGAAATTGTTTTATTAGGGGTCACTAATCGGGACTGTGTTGTAGTAACACATTAAGTTTCTTAGCAATTCGACACCACCATCTCCTGAAATCCCCTTGGCTTTGTTCTAGGGCTTCTGAAGAAGAGCTGGGGAGAGTGGGAAGAAGAGGTGGATAATCACCCAAAGATGAAGTAATAATCAGCTGAGTTACCGTCAGAGCAGGATAAAGAGCAGGGCTAACGAGCTTCCCAATATCACAGTCCCTCTCGGCCATGGGGGTACAACACTCTCAGAGCCATCTGCTCAGGCACATAGAGGAACAACACTATAAAACTATGTTATCCATAGATAAACTCATACTTTCCATAATAGCCATGAAGCTGAATGCTTTTGAACAGATTCCTGTGCAGGTAAATCATATCCATACCGATGATTCCCTGTCTACCAGCTAACACACGGTGGCCTGGTGCCTTTTCCTCATGGCCTCAAAAACCCAGAGTGAGTGAGTCAGAAGTGAGTGGAAAGCCACCTCCTGCAAAAAAAAAAAACCACCCATAGACTCTGCCTGGCTCTCTCCTGGACCCATCCCTGCAAGACCTAAAAAAAAAAGTGAGGGAGGCAACAGAAAATTCTGGGCCAATCTCTATCAGCTAACTGGAGGCTTTTAGATGCACATGACAGAACTCATGCCCAACTACACAAAAAGCACAAATGGAACAACAGAGGGAGGGCAGATTTTAGACTGACTGATAAATCAGAGATCATGCTCTCTTCAGTGTGTTGGCTTTGTCCTCAAGCTGACTCTTTTCTAGTTGCTTGTAAGACAACCAGTGATTGGAGCTGATATGTCACATCTCCTCATTCATATTCAACAAGTGGTGCGGGCTAGGGGAGAGGACCTGGCTTCCACTGTTCTCCTGGAAGGAAAGGAGAATTTCCCCAAATCTCTCAGCAAATCTACCCGAAGAGTCACTGGCCAGAGCTGGGTCACATGCCATTCCGAAATTGATAATGGAGAAGAGAAATAGAATTGTCTAGTGTCAGCCTACCCCTTGAGTTAAGCTGATTCCTCAGAAGGCACTGTTGCTGTGTGCTCTGGAGGAGGATGGGGTCCACAGCTCCCTGCCAAAGCGTCCTACGTGTGTGCCTGATGTCCCCACTGAGGAGGGAACATTTTTCTCACTGAACATATCTTGTGTACATGTGTGTGGCATTTCAGCTAATTGAAGACCCTGTGGAGATCATCAACAGCAAGCTGGAGGTCCAAGCCTTCGAACGCATTGAGGACCAGATCAAACTCATTGGCTTTTTCAAGAGTGAGGACTCGGAGTGTAAGTTTTCTGAGCCCCACCTGTGAGTCTAAAGGCTAAATTCCCCACCAGTTATTTAGAATGCTGCTGATGAAGAGGATGGGCCATCAGCATATCCGGTGCTGGGTGGAATAAAGGGAAAATTGTCCTCACACCCTGTGTAATGGGACCCATCTGCAAAAGTATGCAAAGCAGGCAGGGATGCTGAAAGAGCATAAAGGTTGGGCCATGTTCTCTGGTCTTGGGAGGAGCATGTTTTATAGAGAGAAAAGTCTTCCTTCCCCTTTTCTACTTGTCCACCTACCAGTGGGACTCTTCCCTAAAATAGGTAAAGAGTGGGCTCTCTCCCTGATGTTGGCAGTTCCTGTGGCCGCCAGTTGGAGAGCTTCTCAGTCACTTGGACAGGATTAGAGGAAAATTTGGGTGGGCAGGGCTCAGCTGCCGTCACACAATGTGGAAAATTGCTGGCCAAGCCCACAGTCGACCACCAAAGCTGCCCTCAACAGCACAGCCTCACCCCTGGGTGTAATCCCTTTGAACGCTTTGTGGTCAGGTTTTGGGTGGGCACGGGAATGCATCATAGCATCACCACAATCCATATGGGAGTGAGAGAGCGGAGAGTGGGAGTCAGGAAAAGGAGGGACCAGGCAAGCTAACTCCTGGAGTAGGTCTTTTTAAACAACTTTGGCAGCATGGCACAATGAGGAAAGACTTTTTCTGGAGCCTCAGCTGTGGCATAACCACAAAAGAGGATCTGGTAGCATTAGTACATGGGGGACATGTAAAGGAGGGCTGCTTATGATGTTTCTGGAAACTCCAAAATATTTTGAAAATTATTGGCAAAGCTGTTTCTTTGCCTGTATGCCAGCAGGCACCCTTGGCCTTCTCACCAGCAAGCCACCTATTTTCCCTCTCCTGTGACCAGACTTAGCTGCCTTCTCTTGTGCTATATAAAAGCCTGTATCTGGGAGGAAGGTGGCTATCCAAAGAAGTTTGCCCAGCCCTCCTTTGGGTGACTTCATTTCAATTTTTATGTTTCTTACAGATGCTGACTACTCTGGGGTGCCCCAGCTGCCTCCTTCTTCTTTCTCCTTAACTTCTTTCTATTTCCCTTTATCCATTTCTGTCCCCACCCTTCAATCTCTTTCGTCCTCTGTTTCTCTCCCCTCCATTAAGCTCAGAATAGCAGGTAAGAAGGAAAGCAAGGCACAGATTGGGATAAAGAGCACATCTTCTAGTTCCTCTCCTCCCTACTAAGACAGTGACAAAAACAACTCCATTTAATCAACACATGTCATGTACCAGGGTCTATGCCAGGAGCTCCATAGTGACACCCCACCTTATTTCTCACTACTAGCCTGTAAGGCAGTTACCATATTATCAGTGTTTTGATGAGGAAGAAATGAAAAGAACAAAAAAGTTAAATTAGTAAATAAATCCTACAGCCAAGATTTAAATCCTAGCAATCTGATTTTATATCTTGCACACTTAAAACACCATTTTGTACTTTCAAGATTTTACACACTTTTTTAGGTCATGGCACACACAAAATGTGGTGATGTTTGCCCAGCCTGTGGGGTAAACTGGAGAGGATTTGGACTTAGTAGAAAAACAAAAAACAAAACAAAACAAAAGATTCTCTTGCTTTCTTTATATACTACTACTACTAATAATAATAGTAAAAGAAGATAATAGAAAAGTTTTCAATATTGCCTTGTATAAATCCTCCAAATAAAATATTTTTAGATTTTTTTGAATGAGAATGTTGTACTTCCTTCTAAAACTATAGCTTTTGAAACAATGACACGCAACTCCTGGTGAAGGGTTTAAACAATCTCTTCTTTTTTTTTTTTAATATTTTATTTATTTCTTTGACAGACAGAAATCATAAGTAGGCAGAGAGGCAGGCAGAGAGAGAGGGGGAAGCAGGCTCTCTGCTGAGCAGAGAGCCCGATGTGGGGCTCGATCCCAGGACCCTGGGATCATGACCTGAGCCGAATGCAGAGGCTTTAACCCACTGAGCCACCCAGGTGCCCCTAAACAATCTCTTCTTGATGGTCACAGTCAACAAGAGACTTTGCTTGAACAGGTGGATGGCGGCAAATGACAAGGCAATAGTTACTGCTTTTCCTCTGATTGATGAGTGGTCTTTCCTAAAGTGGAATTTAGGAAATCTGATCTCTAAATTGTCACTTCAAGGGCATGAGCATTGCTTCAGTCCTAATGGCTATTACTTTCATTTTCACCGGCAAATGTAATATTCTTTTAATTTGAATAGATTTCAAATTCAAAGTTTTCCATATTATATACTTCAAAAATAATAATGAAGCATTTCCTTAAGAATACACAGATCGAGTTCTACTAGTCTTAGAGATTGTTTTCTGGAGATTTAAGTAATAAAATCACTAGCGAGCCATTTCAACTTCCTTTTTTTTTTTTTTTTTTAAGATTTTTATTTATTTGACAGACAGAGATCACAAGTAGGCAGAGAGGCAGGCAGAAGGAGAGAGAGGGGGAAGCGGGCTCCCCGCTGAGCGGAGAGCCTGATTCAGGGCTCGATCCCAGGACCCTGGGATCCCGACCTGAGCCGAAGGCAGAGCTTTAACCCACTGAGCCACCCAGACGCCCCTCAACTTCCTTTTTAAGGTTGAATTTTTATCTTTAAATTGACAAACTTTGTCTTTAGGAAAGTCTAAGCCCAGATCATGTTAGTAATACCGATGATGATGTTGAACATGATAAAGAATAGCAGTCATACATTCATTCCATTGATGTTAGTAGACAATATGAACATTCAAGTGTATGAAATCAAAACAAAAAAACCCCCAAACCCTGAATATTTTACAGTATCACAAACCGAAAACCATTACTAATGACAAACTAGCTTGGACTAGAGTCACAATCACACCAACTGAGAAGACCTGGTGAGGAAGCGGTTTCACCAAGGATCTCTCCAGCTGTCATGCTTGACGACATCTTAGTTAGAAAATATTATAGAATGCAATAAGTTTACACTTTCAGATATAATATTAACTACTGTGAAATTTTGAATGGTTATAGAAAACATGCAGAAAGTTTTATCACCACAAAAAATGTATGGCTGTTACACACTGACTGAAAGCATCACGAAGTTCTATCAGACATTCACGTCTCCCTGTTTCTTCTTGCCGTCCAAAAGAGCATGGGGTCCATAGGTGGGGAGTTGGGAAGGTACCCAGGGGAAGCACTCAGGAAGAATCCTGTATTTCTGCTGTAGTTTGAGGGTGACTGGTCAAGGATATTTAATGGCACAGAGACATTGGCTTTGCAAAATGAGCCCAAGCTATCCTACAGAGAAATGGAAGGACAGTGGAGAACTAGAGGGCTTGAACACAGAGGTAGACTGGCATGGTTTGGGAGAAAAGTCTCCTAAGATATAGAAGATCAAATTAGAAAGGACTTGGAAGAATTAGGGGGCTACATCTTCCAAGGAAGTTGGGTATGAAACTTCACATCCAACTTGAGCACATAGCTATGGATGCTAGCATTGAGAGGGGGTAACAGGAACTTCTGAGGGGAACTCAGCAGATAGTTAAGAATGCCAAATTGGGGGAAATCTGGAGGTGGGCAGCCAGTATCCAGTATGGAAAACCGTGAGATGTGGGAAGAAAGGTGAGGAAATGCAGTACGCAGTAAGCCGGCAGTTAAAGGCTAATTGTTCAGGAGCCTATTCCAGAAGGGGAAACGGAGGGTCAGACTGGAAGAGCCAGGAAGGAGCTGGTCAGCATCAGAACAGGACATGAGGGCAGGAAAACCTGATGTCACATGACATCAAACAGAGCAGATTAGACCAGGTACCCTAGAAGACAACCACTATTTGGGAAAGGCTAAAGGTTCAACCACAGTTTGAAGTGTCACCTTGGGGAAATTATCTTGCTCTACCCTTTTTCTTCTTAAAAGGGATACAGATTGGTTCCCTAGGTGAAGAAGGGAATTCTCTGGACACAGGTGTAGGCCATCCTTTCCAGCAGGGGAGGAGTTCAAGGACGTGGGGAGAGATTCATCAGGGACAAGGGGGTCAGGGAGGGAGGATACAGATGATTCTGCTGGAGAACACTATAGTTTTAGACAGATGTAAATAGCTTAGGTATGGCCCTAATCCTCTCTCCCACCTTCTGTCTATTCATTCTCCAAACCTCTCACCCATCTTCTTCCCCATCCACCCAGTTCTCTACCTCAACTATCAGGCTATATGATGTATTTTCCAACTAACCAATTACCCTTATGGGGAGAAGTCTGTGTGAATGTGTATCAGTATGGAAGGGCATTCTTGTAAATTTTCAACCCCCTCTCATCTGTGTTTATTGCACTTACCTCCATTCTAGCAACCATCACATTACATTGTGGTTCTTTAAGGGTCCATACCAACTCTGGGTTGTGTGCCTTTGAGATCATTGTCTTTGTCTTACTCATGTTTGTGTTCCCTGAGCCAGTATTAATCGTGAAATGTTTTTGATTGACTTGAAAAATTCTGCATGCTCCTGGAACTCAGGCAAAAGCTTATGTCTCTAATGATTAGGAGATAGGGAACTCGACAAAATGAGAAGAGGTTAATCTTCTTAAGAATGAATCAAAGTGTCACCAACTTTCAGAATTATGGATGTTATGTAGAACCAGCCTGTGAGCATTCCCATCCTCATTACCCTCACCTCTAAGGCTGAAATACCAGTGTCTTCTCCAGGTAACTGACGAGATGTGATAAGGCACAGCATGGCCACGCTCATGGGTCTCAGGCGTAACATGGCCAGTTTGGATTCAAGTTTGAAACCAGAGTCAAGCATAGGCTTGATTGATTTTAAATCATCTTCTCAAGGAATCAGAATAAGGATGAAAACTTAAAAAGAGGGAAAGAAAAATGAGGGTTTACCAAAAAGGGGACTTCTGCTAAGAAGTTTAAAGTACTTTCATGATGTCATTTTTGATTGAGGTTGCTTTCCATACTAAGATGGATTTCCTTCTCATCTGGTGGTCACTTATAGGAAGCTGTGCTTACACACTCATAACTAATGGTGAGTCTGAGTGGAATAACTTTTTCCTCGGGTTTAGAGTCTAATATTCTCTTTTTCTCCCTTTCTCAGTTTCCTTCACTTTCTCCTTCCCATCTACCAATTTCTGAAAAGACATAAAAATGTGGTAAAGGGTTCTTCTTTAGCTCAATAGAATACCACTCAACTCAAACTCCTTGGGGGAAATTGTGGGTTTAAATAGCAATAAATAGGGGCACCTGGGTGGCTCAGTCATTAAGCGTCTGCCTTCACCTCTGGTCATGATCCCGGAGTCCTGGGATCGAGCCCCGCATTGGGCTCCCTATTTGGCGAGAAGCCTGCTTCTCCCTCTCCCACTACGTCTGCTTGTGTTCCCTCTCTCGCTGTGTCTCTCTCTGTCAAATAAATAAAATCTTTAAAAAAAAATAAATAGAACTAAATAGTTTTCTATCTAAATAATAATCTACTAAATAATTTTCCAGTCACAATTAATTGGCTCCCCACTCTCTCTACATTATTTAAAAAGAGAAATGTCTTTGGCATGCATCTTTAAAAGTTCTCTTTCTTTGATCTTTTTTTTTTCTCTCAGATTACAAGGCTTTCGAAGAGGCAGCTGAACACTTCCAACCTTATATCAAATTTTTTGCTACCTTCGACAAAGGGGTAAGTACCTATGAAACCCCAATTTGGATACTTCTGTAGGTATAAAGGATGAAAATTTGAACTTCCCAGTCCTTTTCTAAATTTTAGAAATATTTGCCATCTTCCATCCATTAACACTTTCTCCAGAAGTGTTAGAAATACAGCAATAAGTCACTTTTGAATGGGAGATGAATACAAAGATGATTAATTCAGAGGAAGCAAGCTCATTTCTGAAAATAGCTGATGAAAAGTGATGAACCATTTTTAACCACCTTGAACACTAAGAATGGGCAGTGCATGAACAGAGTGTGCCAGGACACTAGTCACTGCTTCCTTGTCTTTAGAGCTATTCTCTCCCTTCCCAGGGGTGCATACTTCCCCTTCTGTTGGGTTAGGATGGGGGAATGGAATGGGGAGGACTACTGGTCATCTGAAACCTGGAGTGCTTCCATAAGTTACCTATTATCTTCAAGAGATGTCATTAATATACTCATCTGTAATTCAATTTTTCTTTCTTTCTGGATGTGGCTCATGATTTTGTAAGCCAAAGAACATATATGAAGGACCTTGAATCAGTGGGTAATTTTTTTGGAGTTCACTATGGGTGGAATACTCCACTCTAACTTCAGTTAGGACTAAAATGGCTACTACTTATCGAGTGCTTTTTGTGTGTCAGGTACAACTTGATGCATTGTATGTCTATGACCTCTAAGCCTTTAAACAACTTTGGGAGCCAAGAAGTCCCATGTCCCATATAACAAAACAGATTTAGAAAGAGTAAGTAATATCCAAGATCTCCAGTGAATTAATGGTAGTGCTGAGATCCCAGCTATGCACACCCATGCCCCTTCCTTGGTAACATCCACTTAAGTAGAAGACTCTGTACCTGCCCTTGAAATTCAGGGTGTATCCCCACATACCCACATTCACATAGAGACACACACAACACACAAAAGATGCATACATAACGCACATGTAAAACACCCAACACACACACAACACACAACAAACACAGCACACAAACATGACACACATAAGCACACAACAGGACACACACAGTACACACATAACGCACACCTCCTCACACACACTCACACTCAAATCCACACCCACACTTATATAACTCTCAGTACACACGCACTCACACTCATAGCCACACCTACACACATAAGAGTCTCTCTCACACTCACACACATATCACAACTAAAAACCTTCAGTCACCATATCTACTAGAACAAATAAGTCTAGGACAAACTAAATCCTGATTATATTCAAGTCAAAGTCCATCAGAGGGTGACCTACTGAGGGGTAAGGCAGTTGAAGAGCAGGGCTCGTGGGCCTTTATACCATGGGAGTCCAAGTATTCTGTGAAAAACAGAAGGAAGCCTGTAGGTTCTGGAGCAGGGAAGGAGTATGACAAGAAAAGGTTGTATTCAATCCCTGTATATGTGTACATCAAACTACCTCTGTGGATATGGCCCTGCTCTAAAAACTCTAGATTGAAAATAATCCAGACGAGTCTATAATCTGAGTAATAAAATCTAAACCTGAAGAAAATTTACCTTAATTGGTTGGATTAGAGTCAAGAGAGATCCAGAGCAAGAATACCAAAAGCAATAATAACTACCACTTACTAAGTAGCTTTTACGTGCTAGACTCTGTGCTGAGAGTTTACATAGCTCTTTCAGTCATCTCAAAGTGCCCATAGAGGACATATTAGTATTCTCAATCTACATAGAAGGAAGCCAAGGCACCGAGAGATTAAGTGATTTGCCCATGGTCACACAGTAAGGGAGCAATGAAGACTGAGGTGTAATCTCAGGTCAGTGTTCATACTGCTGTGCAGAGAAAGAAACAATACACGTGAAGCTCTTGGCTGAAGTCTGATATGTGGGGAGCATTCAGTAAATGTTAGCTAGTCCTGTTGTGCATAAAAGGCAGCCATCTAAGCCCAGGGGAATGAAGGTTGGGTGAGAACTTTAGCAGAGAAGGGGAGGTAAAGGGAGACCTAAACTGAATACATCACTGCCATTCCATTACGACAGGCCAGCAGTGACTGAGGTGGCTCCCGGGGGCCAGAACTCATCCGAGAGAACACAATCAGGCAGGCAGGCTAGGCCAAGAAAGAAAGCCTTAGTTCTTCAAAGGGTGGCCCACTGTTCAGTTCAGGCTGGTATCGGTTTTCAGACATGCCTCCCAGCCCAACCATATGGTTTTGTGTCCGTGGCCCATGAAGAAGGTGAGGTCAGGCTATAATTACAAACTCAGAAGCCTCTTCACTCCAAACTCTGTAAGACACTGAGTCATAAGTGCCCCCATTTATGTAGCCTTGTGGGATTTTACAACATTTAAAAGGAGAAAGACACACTCTCTACCTCTACATGGAACATGGAAAGAAGAGTAGTCACACGCAGAGGACTCAGTACCATTTGGGACTTGAAAATTTCATCCACCATTTGTGGGTGAGGGAGGGAGCCAGAGCCCCAGGAAGCCTCATGGTGTCCAGCAGGGGGCGCTGGTGCAGAAGAGGGAGCTGCAAGAACTTTTCGTTGAGACTGAGGGAAGCCCAGAAGGACTAGGGGGAGGGAAGGTGGTTCCTAGAGATGTGAAGTCAGGCGAGGCCAGCGCCAAGGAGGCACTAATACAGTCCCAAAGATGAAAAGCCAACTGGCAGACATGGAGATGACAAGAGGACTTGGTCATTACTGAGGTGAAGGAGAGAAAGACCAGAGAAGATTCAAAAATACAAGACTGCAAGACTCCTCTTCGAGACAGCAAAGATCCTGAAGCTCCTGAAAACATTAGGGAATCGAAGAAAAGAATCTGCTGAAAACATAAGATGGGGTTGATGAGTTCTCTTACTACAAGTGGGGAAGACGTACAACTAGAAGTATCTTCCATTTATTCATTCATTTGCTCACTCAGAGAATATTTATCGAGTGCACTTTATGGGCTGGAATCTCTTCTAGAGGCCAGCAACACCACAAGGAGTAAAACAGATTCCTGCCCCTGTGGGATTTAGAGTTTAGTGTGGTGGGGGAGGGGACAAGGAGAAGATTGTAGACAGAAAGTAAGTAGACAAACCAATAAATATGTTATATTCAGTATAGTATATGAGTTAGAGAACCATGAAGACAGTGGGATGTCAGGACTGCTGAACCATTGTCCGTAGGGGTCTCCCCCAAAGAGCTTTTAAAATCATGGATTCCTGGACCCACATCTAAGATTAAACTTGTATTTTTTTGTGTTGTGACCAGGCCCAGGAACATGCATTTCCAGAGAACTCCTTGGGGGTATTCTACCTGACCTATAGGTTTGGGACCAGCACTAATAGGTTTGGGACCAGCACTAATAGTTGCATCCTGATCCTAAACCAAGCTATGACATCTCTGATCTGAATCCCATGGAGTCAGAGTCAGAGGGCTAAGGATGGCATGTTTATTGGCCAAGATGCAACTGAAAAAAAATGAGAGAAAGGGCTTTCCTTGGGATACAGGCTGAGGGCACTCCATGGTGTGGGATATAGTGACTAGCTCTCTGGAAAATTTTTTTCAGGTTTCCCAAGACCTAAACTTAAGAATACCACCATCCAGCTTCATGTTTGTGGTCTTAACATTGCATACCCAGACACTGGCATTCAAGGACCACACACACACACACACACACACACATACACACACACACACATACACTTCAGAAGTTGGGAATGAAAAGAGATTGCCATTCTAGGTGATAGTTTAGAACACACCACTGCCTGGGATTCGCTTTGGGCTGTCTCCCCTCCACATACAAGATCTTGACAAACTGCAAACAAAGACTAGGCCTCCAGTTCATTATCTGTAAAGTAAGTAATAATAATGGTTCTTACCTTAGCAAGCCAGGTGAAGATGTACAAAGTAATCAATTGCACTAGCGCCCGACCCAGCGTGAGTCCTCCGGGTGCCTACTACCTTTACTGTTTTCCTTCATCTGGTCACTCCCCACTTCCTTTAAGCACGGTTTCCTGGTTCCTAAAATATGTCATCAGTGAAGTCAGCAACCCAAAATCAGTATCATTTTCTGATAGGCCAGGCTCTGTGAAGAACATGTGAAACATGTGAACATGTGAAAACCCAGCCCCTGGTTATGTGTTCGCTGGTTCCTTCCCACGCTCCCCACCCCAGCATCCACACCACCCCCACCCTGTCAAAGAGGGGGAAAAGTAAGAAAAGACCCCACACTTCCCTGTCCCTCAAAACCACATCAACATGATGATAAATCTCTTTTGATGGACTGGAGCTCTTAACGTGGCCTGTTTTCTTTAGCTCTGGGTAGGATGCTAGAGTTTCTTTCCCTCAAGTCCTATGAGAAATGTCTTTTGGAATATGGTGACCCAGAATTAATAGCGACTGATGACAAAAGCCATAGGGACACCCGTGTTTGCTCAGAATGGCCTTACTTGTGTAACGGTTTATGTAATACCCAGTTCCTCCCCCTTCCCAATTAGTCACGGCTGCCCTGGACCTCTGCACCGTTGGTTACCACCACAGGGCGTCAGCTCTTAGGCAATTCTTCTTTCGTTTCAAGGGAACCACTGTTCATCCCTGTGCTTTCTTGGACCTCAGCTCAAACAGGAAAAGAATGGCATTTGGTTTTCTACAAAGCATTGCACATTCCAGGCCTCTCAAATCATTTCACAAAAAGAGGCTTGAGCTCAGCAGCCCTGCAGGCAAACACAGCACCCATTCTGCCCCAACAGTGAGACTATGTGGCCACTTTAATCAAGAGAGCAGACGTCTTCCAGGCTGCAAGCTGGCTCCCCATGCTTTTTATCTGGTAGAGGGTGAGCCCCTCATCCTGGGTTGCTGGGGGACTATCCCAGTTCTAGCTTAAGAGTCTGAACCCTGGGAAATCCCTCCGTTCTGGACAAAGCAGGATGGTTGGTGACCTTCTGGCTGGTAACAAAGCAGACAGTTCCCAGAGTCTGAGAAACCACTGGACAAGCCAGTACTGAGAGATAACCCTGCTTCTGTCTAAATCACAAGAAGGGGTAAGGAGATGATCAAGGACAGATTAATGGGTTGACCTCTGATTTTGAGTACTTGTGTGCTGTAAACGGTTTCTGTCAATTGCCTGTGCTATCCAAATTGGTTCAATTAAATCCATGCATCTCAGAACACTGAGACTATTCTGTTGACATCTGCTTCTTTCTCCAGCCCTGGCACATACAGTGGAGTGATGATGATTGTACAGTTAGATTTCCCATTTTTCATTCCTACCGCTCCCTTCTCCTGGTTGGATCTCATTTGCCAAAGAGGGTTTTTCCTTGATTTATCCTTCTCTGATTGGTTGAGCTAGGGCTTAGGCAATGAGTTTCTACCACTTCAACATTTAAGTTAAAACTGTAGGTATACTCTCATATCTTTTCCAGAAAACACACACACTTCTTATAGATGGGCAACCCACTGCTACTCTAGACTAGCATTCAAGGAAATTATTGTTATGTTTCTAATTGTTACAGGTTGCAAAGAAATTGTCCTTGAAGATGAATGAGGTTGACTTCTATGAGCCATTTATGGATGAGCCCATTGCCATCCCTGACAAACCTTACACAGAAGAGGAGATCGTGGAGTTTGTGAAGGAGCACCAAAGGTGCCTCAGATGACATGCAGGGGATGGTGGGTGGGGGACAGGCAGTGGTCTAAGGCCTGGGGGATGGAGAAGAACCTCTCAGTCCTAACAATTTTAGGCCTCCCAAGAGCAATAACCTGGAGTTACTAGCCCAGAAGAACTGAAATCAGTAGTATGGCTTTGTTGGTCATTGATCAGTTGGGCAGGATATTGCTACCTTTTCTGAGTATGGGTCTATACTTGCAAACAAGGTAGACCAACTCCCCACAATCAGCAAATCCCCTCCGAGTCAGAGTAAGTTACAAGTCATATTCTACAATAATAACAATAGAGATTTACTGTCAGCCTCTTATATGCCAAATACCATGCCAGGTGCTTATGGAAGCTATTTTATCTAATATTCAACATTATGGAGTATTATTATTATCCTGATGTTACAGATCAAGGGATTGGGCTCAGAGTAGTTAAATAACTTAGCCATGGATGAGTGTTTAATACATAGACTTCTGGGAGAGGCATATTTGATACCACTTAGAGTAGCTCTAGCATGGATCAGCAAACTTTTTCCATAAAGGGCCAGAGAATAAATATTTCAGGTTCTGTTGGCCAGATGGTTTCTGGTTGGTGTAGTGTGAAAGCAGCTGTGTAGTGTGAAAGCAGCTGTAGACAGTATGTAAACAAATGGGTGTGGCTGTAACCCAATAAAAGCTTATTTATAAACACAGGAAGCACTGGCTGGATTTGGCCCACCAGCTATGGTTGGCTGACCCCTGCTCTTGAGGGAGGGACAATATTGAAACATGGAATGTGGTAGTGGGTTCAACACCTCGGCACACCACCCTCCCTCTCCAATGCCCGCTCAGATATGTCCACTGAACCTGGAGCACTATGACTCCATCACCTGGTTGTCCTGGTCCCCATAGGGAGGCAGCATTTGGAGAAGGAAATCTCTGTGTGTCTAATACAATTTGCCAACATTCAGAAGGACATAAAACCATGAGCAAAATATAATTTTACTTGTTCCTCCAAACATCCCTAAAGAGCTTTTGAATGATGATCCTGATGATACGACAATGCAGTCCTGGCCTGGGAGAACCACTACTTCTGCTTCTTCTCCCAGGTGTCCTCATTCTGGGCCTGCTCTGGGCTTTGAGCAGTGGGCCCTATCTATGAGGAAGGAAATGGCTTCTTGCCCTAGGAATAAGCTAACCCTGTACCCTCTGACCCATTGTTTGTAATCGACTTTATTTCCTTATTTATTTGGCTCCACACTTAGAGTGGAGCCTAACACAGGGCTTGAACTTTATGACTGTGAGATCAAGACCTGAACTGAGATCAATAATAGTTAGATGCCTAATCCACTGAGTCACCCAGGGGTCCCTCTAATAGGCTTTATATAATCCTTGAATCAAATGGGTCTGTGAAAAAGCTGGGAGCTTCAGGCCCAGCTAGCTCCCTGTGTGATGTAGCAGGGTAGAACAGCTCCATTTCCTTAGGGGAGATTTCTAGAGCTCTTCATGTCCTTGCAAATGAACCAGCATCTCATTTTATATTCACTACGCTGAGGCTGTGGTGTCTGCCTTGGTAATCCCCACTCAAAGAAGCTCATCTTTGTTTTTTTCAGACCCACCCTACGTCGCCTGCGTCCAGAAGACATGTTTGAAACATGGGTAAGAAATGAGAAACTCTTTCTGCCTTGTAGACATCACCCCAAGTGGAGTACCCCTTTGAGTTCCCAAACTTAAACCACATTTTATTTTGCTGGAGTGGATGTCTAGATGATGGAGAATTTGAAACGTGGATAACATCACACTCAATTAAAGCCCAGTTCTCCATGGATCTAATTTAAGCCTCTTGGGTACTACCCACAAGGCAAAACTACTCTATCTTTGAGTTCATGTCCCACAGTCACTACTGGCTTCTGGTCACTGACTACCAGAGACCCAGGGTGACATCATGGAAGGCACTCGGGCTGTGGAGTCATAGAGACTTGGGTTCACATCCAGAATCTGCTACCTGGTAGCTCTGCATCCTGTATCAAGTCATGTCATCTTTCTGAGCTTTAGTTAGTTTCTGCTTCTCAAATCAGGGCTTTTCGTAAGGATGAGTGGTTGCAAAGCGCCTAGAACCTGGGAGGTGTTTGGCCAACTGATGGTAGCTGTTTTCATTAATATCAACTCAAGGCACTGGAAGGTGCTGAGTCAGATTATCCCCTAGGTCTATGCCATAGACAATGTGTCAGGCAAGTCAAAATAGTATAGAAAGAGGGCCATGGAGGTACGACATCCCATCCCATCCCATCCCACATCAGCTTTATATAAAATTCCATAACCAATAACAACCAACACCTGTGGAGCATTCTTCAAAGCATTCCAAAGTATTCTTTTAACCTGGATGTTTCAAGAGTTCTAAAAAGTGAAGTAGAACAAATATTACTTAACCTCATTTTACATGGGGAAACTGATGATCGTACAGATTAAGTTGATTAATCAAGGATACATAACTAATAAGCATTAGATCTTGGGACTTTAGTTTAGATCATTTGGAGCCAAATCTCATGTTCTCTTCAGTATAGTTCCCCAGAGTAAGCATATCCCCATGAGGTGCCATTTTGTCAAGGGGGTGGGGGAGAAGAAAGGAATTAACATGAAAACATTTATTTATTTAGTCTTTGATTCAGAGTCTAAAATGACAGAAGAACAGAACCATGAAGTAACTTATCACTTGATATCTTACTGGCTGGTAACTTATTTGTATTTCTGAAGGCAGAACAAACATTTCGTAAGACACTGAAGAGCGAGTCATCCAGTCTGGAGAATCGGACTTTCGAAGAATAACCCAGCAGTAATGGAAACCTATTTTCTTAATATTTAAACCTTTCAAAAATGTAATCTTTAAAAGGTCTTGTTACTAGATTTAAAAAGAGTGTAGCAGTGTTTTAAAAATAATATTCCTTTAAAAAATAGCTTTACCTTTTACTTAAAATCGTTTCACACTTACGAAAAATAATGTAAAGAATTCCATGATCTCTTTACCAGATTCCCCAAATGTTAACATTTTACTTTCTTTGCTTGATCACATACTTCTTGACAGATAATGGATATAAACATTTTTTTGCTCTGAATTGAGAGTAGCTAGCAGACACAAATCTTCTTACCCCTATATACTTCAGATGTTTTCTAAAAACAGGGAATGTCTCTCAAAACCACAGTGTACTTATCAAAATCAGGAAATTAGTATAATTCTATTTCACCTATGGACCTTATTCAAACTGACCAGTGTCCCACTAATGTCCTTTATAGCACACACACACAAAATTCTTTTTTCCTGGCCCAGGATCTGATCTTGGATCTCACATCTGAGGTTTGTTGTTCTATTCTTTAGTCTTTAACCTGGTATGAGTTCTTGGTTACCAGAATCTGCTACCTGGTCTTTCTCTGTCTTTCATGACCATTTTAAATTGAGAGCGATTGTCACTGCTCTCTTCTGCTATGTCTCTATTCTTAGTTCTTTTAATTTTCTTCATCCCTAAGAGAAGCCCTTCCTTCAGACCTTCTCTTAATGACACAGCTATATCACATCCCTGACACCATATGCCGTGGTGGGAGAGCTGTGTCCTGTCCCCTCCCCCTGACCACAAATACCCCTTGCTCCCCCCACACTGCCCAGTAGAAATGTTCCCTCTCATATATCACAGGCAGATGTTCAGAAATTTCACTCTCTGGATTCACCGCAACTCATTCTCTGCTCTCTTTTCACTTAAGGGAAAAGAGAAGTTACTGCCTTTCGCTATAATAGAACTGATGGCTCATATTCTCCACCATTACTATATATTCAATTGTTTTCTAATCAGGAAAGGGCTTTGTATTAAATTTAACCTGGTAGAGAAAAGGGCAACTAGACTGGGTTTCTTCTTACCTGCACACCATCATGGACTATCCACGTGACATCCCAGGAGCTGTAACCAGACCTCACCGGTCCCAAGTCTCCAACTACGGAGGGAAGGCAGGATCATCTTTCCATCCTTAAAAAGGAGAAGCAGAAATCAATCTGTCAAAGGGATCTCTGGGAAGCCACTTCCCAAGTGCCTTCCCCAACTACCTTTGCCACCTAGGGAAGCATTGCTCCAAAGAGCAGCATCTTCATGGACCACTGGGCTGCAGCAAATGAAACCACAGAAGCTGGGGAAAGTGACCAGTTATGACCTTGGAAGTCTTTATCTTCAACACCCACTTCCCCAGAAGTTGCAAAATATTTAAATAAGATAGGAAAACTAAGTCAAGCTAAAGCAACTATTGACCTTTTTCTTTCTCTCATTGTGTGGGTTTTTAAAGAGCAAACCATAAAAAACACATGCTTGATTATTACTAAAGAAACTGGTGGCTAGTGATACTTGCTTTGTGTAAATTAAACAGCTATTTGCTTATTTAGATTCAAAGAACGTCAAGGTGGGGCAAGGTGGTCCAGACTGAGTGCCGACTTGTCCTTCCCTTTCAATACTCTTACCTTCCAACCAGCTCTCCATCCTGGCAAGTGGTCGGAGTTCTGGGCAAAAGTGCATGGGGATGGGAGTCAGCAGTTCCTTCAGAAAGAACCTTCTCTCTTTGTGGCAATAACAAAGTAGTACTTCCAAAAGGGGGCCAAAAACCTCCAGATAAGCCCCTAGAACATTCCATTGCACCAGGGAGTCTGTAGTTTTAAGTGCATGTTTTTTTCTTTGCATTGCTTCATTCAAGAGAACAAACATTCAACAGAACCTGGAAGGGAGCAGAGCAAAACAGTAACAGTGGTAATATACCTGGTTGGTGGGTGACTGATGTGTGGTTTCTTTTTGGTATCTCTAATACTTTCCATTTTCTTCAACTAGTGTGTAAGCTTTTTATCAACATATCCTTTTTTCTTTAAGTCAGTGGAAATTCATAAGAACCTATTACTTTGTGCTAAGCACAGGGTTTATAAAAATGAACATTGCTATTGTGTCCTTAGAAGTTCAGGGTTGAACAAATGAAACAATCTTAAAACATATTAATACCACTCCAGTATGCTCATACTATGATAGATAAATGTACAAAGTGAAAGAGAATTCAGAGTAGGGTATTCACCAAAGTATTCCTAAGTCTCTAGTTCTTTGGGGGATATGGGGCTCAGTCATTTTACATAAAACCCCCTTACCAGGCTCCTTTAACTAAAGAGTCACTAATCTGAGTTTCAAACATCTGCAAACCCTGCAGGGACAACAGACTCATTCTGTTGCTATTAATGATGTCAAGGAGGAAAATTGTTCCTTCTACCCTCTTAGGTTCTGTATTAAAGGGCTGCAAATTAAACTGACAAAACACAGATGAGCATGGGCAAAAGACAGATTTAATGACCCATTTATGCAAGGGAGTTTACAAGGAAATGTGACTCAACAAGGGGCTTATATACCATCTTAATTGGAAATGGAAGAGGCAAGAGGCACTTCTGGGAGAAAAAATGACTTGTTAGAAGGTTGGGGAGAAAGGGAACTTATGGAAAAACAAACCATGTCTTGGTAAAAGAAACAGGCCTTTGGGGAATAGATGGGAGATTTGCTAGTTCTGTGATAATATCTGTCTAAGAAGAGAAATTAGAACGGTTCTTGAGTATGGGTTTATGACAACTGAGTTCTTTTGGGATTCTCTGTTTTTAGGTAGATAAGGCATTCAGGAATTCATATGCTTTCAGCCCAAAATAATTTTTATGCCACAGTGGCTTATTCTGGACCCCTTCAGTGAGAAAGAAAAAGCACGTGGGGCCAGACAGAACGGGCTTGAATCCCAGTTATGTCACGTACCAGTTCTGTGGCGTTAGGTAAGTCACTTCAATTCTTTAAGCACTAAATAGGAATAAGACTTTCATTTGTGTTTTAGAAATGACGTACTTGTAAAGAACTGATACAAAGAACGGCAGGGGGCAGATACTATTGTGGCCATTGTAATTATCCTTGTTATTTTAAGGCATAATCCTTTCCCTCAGAGAGCTTGCCATCTGGTTGAGAAGGTAAGATTTGTGCTATTAAAAAGAGAGTTTCCAAGGCAATGTGATCCAAAGGCTAAATGGGTGATCTGGAGCAAAGGCTGTGGGGTTCAGAGAAAGCCCCCCAAGGGGGTCTCAGTCCTATGCATGGTCAGCTTGGCTCTTCCTCCTCCGTGCACATTGGATTCTCACTGAGGAACCCTGATTTATATGCTTCCCCCATGGATTCTTGCTCTGTGAGTGTATTACTGAAAATACCCGGCCCCAAGCAGGCACCTGCCTCTTTGCCAGTGTTCTCTACAGGTTTGTGAACTGACTCTTTGATCCCTACAAAGAGACAGGTTCTTTGCCTGGATGAGAGCCCTCCATCCAGGCACCATCTTGGGCCTGGGGAGTGACAGCCACATTGTGAGCAGCCTCTTAACAAATGAATATGGATTCTTAATTCCAAAAGCAATTTCAAATGTGTTCTAGAAGGGCACACAGAAATGAAGCCTGCTTTACAGAGTTAACACTGCTCACTTCCTGCTGATGGCAGGAGACAGAGACACAGGACAGCCTAATGAGAACTGATCAGGATATTCTGTCTGGCGATAATAGCAAATGTAAAACAGTGAAACCTTGGACTCCCCTTCTGGTTGGTGTCGGATTTGTGTAATAAACCTGCACACACATGCACACGCACACACATATATCTGTAAAATTCAATTCCCCAGAGCATCTGACCAAGCCCATGCCCACTCTCTTGTTTTTAATAATAATATTTTCCATTTAATCTCTCAGAATTTTTGGAGCTTTTATCCATTCCAAACTCAAAGGGGAAAAATTAGCATTTAGATAGGATTGCACCAGCATTAAAATCAATTGAAATGGAAACGGGGATCATGGGAGGGTTGAGATGCCTGGAGTTTTTTCCATAGGATGATTCTGATATGATATCCTGGATACCCTGTGACTCCCTTTCCCTGTGTCAGCGATAATCTGTATTCACTCAGATTTGTCCCACGTGCCTCCTTCTTAAACATCTTCTTCTCCATGTTTTTTTGGTAATCACACTGCTCACAACAAAGCCTCCTCCAAAAGAGGCACAAAGAATTGATGCAAAGGAGACACAGGTGTACGGTCCTTTCTGTCCAGAACATAGAACTATGCAATGCTGTTTGCTTGCTCAGGGATGTGACATACTCACTGAATTCTTGGCCTTGGCCTCAGCCCCCGTAGCCACACCCACGTGTCATGTCACACCCTCAACTTTCCCTAGTTCCCAAATCCACTTTTCCCATAGCCTCCCACACTCACAGAAATGCGTTAGAGGCCCTCAGCAAAATTTGGACCTGAGCAGAAAGGACCCCAAGGTGGGAACCTGGATGCCACAGTCAGCAAGGCACCCCTTACTGACTACACAGGTTTTTCAGTAGGAGGAGTGTTCACAGAGGAGCCCTACATTTGTATATGATTCTTGCGTGAACAGAACAGACCCACGTCTTAATTGACCTAGAAGATTCCTGTCTGCTGCCAGTCTGGGGACAGTTTCAGGATTTGTCGAGGGCATTCAGACGTTCCCATAATTGCTGGTTGCGGGTGGTGAATTCTCAAAACACAGACTGACAATTTACTGAGCTGTATTCAGAGTGATTGTTGCCCTTGGAGCTCCTAATAACCAGAATCATGTTTTTCCTCCTTTTGCCTTTTACTGCTGCTGTCCTGGACCCCACAGCCCACAGGAGTGAGGCCCATTCAGTGCTGATGTCTTGTGTGTAGTGGGTGTTCTCCTGTCTTGTAAACCCATGGATCAAACAGCACGCATTCTGCCCAGTTGCTCATCAATATTTCCTTCCTTACTGTGCACCCCTCAGTTCCCCTGCCCCGTGTCCACTACCCCAACACCTCCCCCCTTCCCATTTCCATGCCACCCTTTGTCTCTGTCCCTGACTTGTTCCTTTCTATCTCTCCACCTGGGAGTGTAACCTCTGATTCTTCTCTCCTCCAGGAAGATGATTTGAATGGGATCCACATTGTGGCCTTTGCAGAGAGGAGTGACCCAGGTAAGAAACCGCCATCTGTCCCTTGACACCTTAAGCAAGATCTGACTTCTCCCCTTTGCCAGCCCTCCTTCCTTGCTCTTGCCTCAGTGCTTGTCTGCAAGTCCACTGCAAGATATTGGGCACCCCCTGGTGGTCGCCAGTTAGGTATGAGTCTGTTGTCAGTTGTGCACACAGCTAAGAGATGTGGATGGATCAGAGCCTCATTCTTTTCTGCTTGGCTGTCCAAACTAGGAAGAAGCACTGAGTACTGGAGGGATATAAAAACATCCTAGCTTTACAGGGTGTATGCGCGTGCACACACGTGTGCATGTGAGAGAGAGGGAGAGAGAAATGTCTGTCCACATTAAAAGTTTATTTAACAGTATTATGCTCTAGTCTATATAAATAACAATCCTACATTTCAACTACAACCAAAGTATGCTTTGCTTCGTAAAATATGGTCTGTGCTTGGGAAACTTAATAGAAAACACTCCCTCAAAGAGTGAGGCTTGGACAAAACTGGCAGTTAATTTCTAAAGTGCAAAATGACCCTATAAACGGATGAGCAGCTTTGTTTTATTTTGGAACCTGGATGACTTTTTCCTGGTCACATTCTTTTTAGCATCGGTGGAGAGGGAAGTGCAGGAAAAATCAATATTGCTGGTTGTAGAATGCTTAGTCCCTTTGGCAATGCTGTGACATAAAGGGTCCCCAAAGCATATAAGTGGGCATTCTGCAGCGCATATGGGGAGACTAGGCACGATCTAGACAGCACACATAGAAGGCAAGGAACTTCATTTAGGATGGCTCAGCAGCCAGCCTTGGGCCATGAGGTGCCTGGGCAGGGGTCCCCAAACGTGACAGCATGAGAACCAAAGCCACCTGGGGCTGATTATAACAGGACCTTCCGAAACCTGTAATTGCACAGAGCTCAGAGGCAAGTGTTAAGGCACCATCCGGTTTAGGAACCATGGCCCCAGGTACCGCAGAACTGTGGTATTTGCCTGAGACCTCTTGTACACTCACAGGGACAGACGAGGAAGCTTCAAGGAGTTGAGCAATCTGCCCAAGAGGGCACAAGGAGTTCATAGTGGGCCATGAAGGAGCCACAGGTTGTCTTGGTCCTCAGTATGTACCTGGTCCTTGTACAGCACCTTGACACATAGTAGGTACTCAATAAGCAGCTGTCAGGAAGTGATAGGATAAGTGGATGACTGACCAAGACTGAGCCCCAACACTTCAACCCCACTCCTGTTTTTGTCGTTGATGTTAATACACTCTTAGCTTCCATAGTTCTTACAGATGGAAACCTAAATGCTATTATCATACAGTTTTTAATCTTGAGAGATAATCCACACATGACAGTATTCACCTTTTTAAAGTGTGCGATTCGGTGGTAATTTTAGTGTATTCACACAGTTGTACACTAATCTGGAACATTTTCATCACCTCAAAAGGAAACCCCATACCCGTTGGCAGTCCCTCCCATTTCTTCCTCCTTCCCCCAGTCCCTGGCAACCACAAATCTACTTTCTATCTCTATGGATTTGATTATCGTGGACATTCCATGTGATTGGAATTATGTAATCTGTGGCCTTTTATGCCTGGCCCCTTTCACTTACCATAATGTGTTCAAGATTCATCCAATATGTAGCACATATCAGTAATTCACTTCTTTTTAGGGCCAAACAATGTTCCATTGTATCAAAACCAAATTGATGCTCCAAATTATTTGAGGGTTTCCTCCTCCCTTTGTTTTTACTAGTTTCTGAATGCTCACTGTGGTCTCATTTTTCCCATCACTGACTTGCAGAGTTGGCAAAACTCTTGAAGGATATCTAGTCTTTGTCTGAAAAAAAAAAAAAAAAAATGCCGGTATGGTTCCAGCATTTTCTGGCCACCCCTCTGCCCCTGTAGGGGAAAATACCGAAGGAAGCCAATTGCCCAGGGTTTATAAGCTATAATCAAACAGAGTCGGATCCCTGGTGTTGTGTGAACAGAGATGAAACTGCCATCAGCAGCAGCCTGCTGGCCAGACCCCGGCGGGCTTCCTCCCTCTGCCCCACCTGCCCTCTTCCAGGATTGTGGGGAAGCCTGTCTGGCCCTCTGGAACAATGGAACAAAGAAGCCTGCAAGAAGTTGCTGGAACCTGTTTGACCGAGATTGCTGCTGCAATGAATCAAGCTCCTGAAACTACTTCCACCTCCTCCTTGCACAAATATCCTTGGGCCTGAAGCTGCGTCTTTCCCCAGAGGAGCCCAAGCTGGGGCTTGTTCCTGGGAAGCTGGAAGAAAGGCACTGAAGGGGGGGTCAATGTGTGGGGGATCGAAGTGTATCTTTTCATCCAGGGAGGGCCTGGCCCACTCAGGGCTAGGAAAGGCTTTTCTGTGAAAGTCCCGACGCTGCAGCTAGTCAGTCATTACCCGAAGGTCACTGATGTGTGACCCGGGGGCAGAGGGGGCGTGGCTGTAGGACCAGGAATTTCACTGCTGCCCAGACAGCGGTTCCTTCTATACTTTTGCTCTCGCTGGACCTGGCCGACTGCCCCAACGGGACCCCTGCCCACTGGCTAAAGACAGACGGTCATCTGCCCGGGAAGTCCATGCAGCTCTCCTGAAAGAGCTAACAGTCTCGAGGAACTGTGCTGTACGGAGATGATCTCGTTGGGTCCCTAAAGCCAGACTGTGATAAATGCATGATATTGCCATTCCCAGCTCAGAGGAGAAAAGTGGTCTGAGAGGTTAAAGGGCCCAGATCACTTGCTGTGATTCAAATCCCGGCAGGCTTTATTGACCTCTGACCGTGGCCTGATGATGATGAGGCTGGTGATGATCACTTCTTGATCACTTCTTGTAAGCTTATGGGCCAGAACCCCACGTGGGTGCTGCTCGTTCTATTCCCATTTTACAAGTGAGGAGGCTGAGGCCAAGAATGAAGCTGAGGGCTGTATGACTTCCTTCACAGTGGCAGGAGGCCTTGCTGTAGACTTGAGGGCCCCTCGCAGTTACTACCCCTGGCGACCTCCTCCAGTGATCCTTCAGCCCGCCCTCCTTCCTCTCTCCTACCCTTCGTCACCCCACCACCTCACCATGAACAAGACCCAGAGAAGTTCGGTGACTTGCTTGAGATCACGCGGCTAGGGGCACAGCGGACACACGAACTTAGATTTCTCTCCGGCTCTTCAGCACCCAGTGCAGCTGAGCCCACTACCTGCGGGACTGCTCGGCCCAAGGCTGGCTCTGAGCACGCCCAGTGATGCTGCTGCACTATTGGGGGAGGGGGGCAGGGAGAGCAGGAGAACGCAGCCACCTGGAAGCTTGAGAGCCAATTAAGGAAGAGAAGTCAGCTGTCCTCCCTGCTGTCCACTGATGTTCCCAGATTTGAAATTCAACCGACTATCCGAGTGACCTGAGTCCCCCGGGGGCGCTTCTCTGAGCAGTTCCAACACTGCCAGTTGTGATCTTGCTCCCAAGGCTGCAGTGTCCGCTCTCTGGGCCCTGGAAGGATGAGCCTGGGCGCTCTGCTCTTGGCCCAGGCCCTGCATGCTGCTCGGTCTTCCTCCTCCAGGGCCTGTCCAGCTCCTGCGCTCCGGATGCCCCTGGAGCTGCTATTTGACAGGTTTGAAAACGAGCACCTCTCCTCTGCTGCCCCCAGATGTGTCTGCAGCAGGCTGACATCTTTATAACACCTGCTGAAAGGTTTGAGGAGCGGCGTTTCTACATGAGCGCATGCTGGATGGATATCCTCGAAGGGCCCAGGGAACATTAGCACTAACAAGCCGGAAATGCAAGGACAGGCTGCTGTGTGCGCACGTGGATTGGCCCTGCAATGAACATCTTGAAGCCCTGTTCCGACAGGATTGCAACCACCTGGGGTTCTTGGAAAATGTTTCTGAGATCAGTTGTCTCAAGTAAGAGTGCTGACTGCTTATTTGAGCTTCCCAATGTAAATCTGGTTTATCAAATTTGACTTTTGGTTCTTGCTCAGTGCTAACCATGCATGTAATCTTCCCAACAACCCTGTGTCTTAGGTACCATCCTTACGGTCTTCCCCGATGTACAGATGAGGAAGCAGGGGTATAGGAAGTTAAATAATGTCACCAGGTCACACAGCTAATAAGTGGTGGAACTGGGATTCAAACCCAGGCTCCCAGCTCTTAGGCTGTGCTCTGAGATACCCACTTCTCTGCCGACCCAGCCCTGGTCTGACAGGGTTTTGAGTGGCCTGGAACTGGTCCCCCAAGGCTTGGCCTGGAACTGGTCCCCCAAGGCTTGGTGCAGCCTCATTTCCACTAGATCCTCCCTGCCTGGGAAGGAGGAGAGCATAATCACCGGTTTCCCCTCCCACAGAGATGGGATTCCCAGAGGCCTCTTGCTCGCCGTGGGAAACCTGGCTCCACACGAGCCCTTAGCCCTGGGTCATGGGATTTTAGGTTCCAAGTCAGTGTGGCATGGGAGGGAGTCACGGTTCTCACAATACCATGTCCCTCTTCTTTATTTAGGTGGATCTCTGAGACTCCAGTCACTTAGGGACCTCGTTGACTTTAACCCACCCACCCAACACAGTAACAGTGTGGACAGGAGGAGGAGGGTGCTCAGCAGCATGGGGGTGGAGGGGGAGGGGCTCCGTCCTCCAGAGAGTTCTGCCCCCGTGCTGCCTTCTTGCTTCCCTCCTACGGAAGCTTTCCCACTCAGCTCACAAATCTCAAGCACAATCTTGAGGAAGGAAGATGGCAATAGCTTTGGCAGGAATGCCAAGAACTGGGAGGGAAAGTGATTGTGGAAATGGTTCTAGACGTGCAGACCAAAGAACTGAGTTAGAATCCTGGATCTTCCACTTGCTCCCATGTGATGCTTGGCAAGCCACATACTCTATCTGTGTCTCAACTCCATCATCTTTAAAATGCAAATAAGAAAATCTTCCTGTTGCCATCAGGACAAGATGTGAAGATTAAAAACATTGACTAGTCCTCTAGTTTTGGTGATGGAATAATCGCTAGCCCCAAATCATGGAATAATATTTCCTCCTTTTAAAAAAAAATCTAGCTTTTTAAAAATATTATGGACTCTTCCTCCTGAAAGATACATGGCCACAGTTTCAAAAGGGCTCTAAGTTTAGGGTATCACTGATGAAGGAAACATTTATCCATTCAAATCCATCCATTCATTCATGAAATCGCAATTGTGGACTCGTCTTGGTCTTTACACTGAATTACAAAAGTGAAATATGGCTTCCTGCACCTGCCTTCCTGGTCAAAAAGGGAGAGTCCACGGTGGCTATTTCCCTTCTCCAAGACACCTGCCTGGACACCTGCTTTACAAAGAAACAGAAGCTCTCCCTAAGAGGAAATTGAACTTGTAACTTGCAATTTTAACAATTAAATACCTGGGAGACCAGTTCAGCTGCCTTAACTCAGCTTTCCCAGATGCAAGAGAATCTATTCCAGCAGGTCCACATCCAAGGCTGTGAATAAAAGGGGAGAGAATGTATCAGGCTTGTGAACCTTGAATCAGGAATATCCAAATTAGCTTAATGACTTTAAAATAAAGGAATTAAACTTTGCTCTAATCCACATATTGGGGCAAGGTTCTCATATTCACAACTGCTGGCACAGCCACCCCTGAGGCCTTCAGTCATAGAATCATGAGCAGGGGCCAGAAGGAACCACCCCATGACATACTATCTCCTGGCGTGACTTCCTACAAGCCTGTCTTTCTCTACTGTGTGGTGCCGAGACTGTATCAAACACACTGCTTATGCCCAGATCATTGTACTTGTTACCTATGCCCTGAATGGAGAGATGAATGGCCAGGTTCCTTGTGTTCAGGCAGAAAAATCCAGATCATTTAGGAATAATGGCTTAAACTTACTCTGTGCTAGGCACTGTCTCAGTGATTTAGAGGGTACTAACTCATGTAACCTACAACCACCTTATGAAATAGGTACTTTTATTATCATCATCCCAATTTTGTGGATGAGGGACCAAGACTTAAATAACTTGCCCAAAGTCACACTCAAAATGGCAGGACCAGGATTTGGACCAAGGTTGTTTGCCCCAATGTCTGTGTGTTTAAGCATCATTCTGGGCTGCCTCCCTTCCGTTCTGTTCTTTGAAAATATCCAGGAATGCAGAAGGATTATGTCCATTATGGAATTCATCATCTCAAAAGTCGAAAAGCTGTGCTTGGATCTAGATGAGGTTTCTCCTGCTTTAATGTCAGCCTCATTTATTGATGTATTTTGTGAATGTTTTTTGAATTTTCCTTACTCCTCTGTGGACTTAAAAACCTTTCGTATTCCTAAAATTAAGCACTAAGCGAAAAATTTGACTTTTCTTGTTTACATAAAAAAACTGCCACCCATTTAAGTTTTCTAGCAGAACCCATTTTTTATTCCTTCTATCTTTTCATTTTTATCTCCAAACCTGCTCTAGCATGTAGACTAGAAAAGATCTATATGCATCATTCCTTCTCATTAGTTCCAACATTCTGTGGGGTTTTCTATCAGAAACCTACCATGCTTTCTTGCGTGTTCAGCTGTGGTACTCATGACGCCTTTGTCCCTCTACAATATGGTGCCTAGATGGCTTCTCCCCTCCCTTTATTCAAGTCTGTCTTTTGATCCTCAGATGTACTTTCTATGTGAATCAGGGTCTGTGTCTTTGAATTTTAGCCTCTTTGTGAATTTCTGATTTATCAAGTTCACTTTTGCATTTGGTTCTCACCTTCTAGAATACTTCCTTCTGGTTCTTGAAAGTAGCCATGGAAAGTGTTTGGAGAATTTCCCATTGTGGTCTGTGTATTATGATACATGATCCACAGATTCCCTGTTTTGACACAGTTCTATGCCCAGGGAAGGAGGAGCTATAAGGTTCAAATAGCAGGGGCCAGTGGAACTCTGGAGGGGTTTGACCTTCTCAGCCACTCCTACAGGAGGCAGGAGTAATATCCCCCAACCCCATCTCCACCCAATTCCCACAATGATAATGAACTCTAAAGCCTGTGGCCCTATTCACCTCAGGTGTCTGCCATACCTGGAGACTAGTGATACACAGTCTTCCCTCGCTCTCCCAACATTCTCATATGTTGCTTTGCTTTTACAAAATACCCACATTAGTATCTGTTTTTGCTGATGAAAAGAAATCCCAAGAGGATTTTTGATTTTATGACATGTTATTGCTTCTTCACTTTACAACATTTAGGTTCTTAGGAATGTTCTACTTTTGGATATCGGGGGAAACCTGCAATTCTGCAATAGATGGAAAAATCAGGCAGACAGAGCACAGCTCTGCAGGAAGGGGCTGTGGCCTCTTCTCTCCCACCAGTACCTCTGCTTTCCAGGTAGAAAGGTCGAGGGGGCCCAGTCTAGATCTTACAGTTAGTAGTGGGGAGTTAGCAACATTGAAAGTGATTTCACCCACTCAAAGCAGAAGTGCCAAGAATGGCAATGCTTTTTGCTTGGAATGTATAGGAGATGAGGAAGTGCAGAGAAAACCCTTTACCCAGAGGCCCCAAGTAGCCAAACAAAGGCTAAAGCTCCTGGAAAGAGAAGAGACTTGTTAAACAGAAGGGCTCAAAGTGGCTGGGACCTCAGGCAAAAGAAGAAACATTTACAAAGAAAAAGCAGCACCAGAGGGAATTCTGAGATAGGTGGGGAAAGTTGCTGGTAGAGAAGGTGTACATTTCAGGTCACACGTTCAACCAGGCCATAAATATAACTTTGCTGTCTAGAATCAAACCTGTATTGTACCCAATGGGAACTGGGTCTGGTCATGGATGGCCCCCCAACTTCACCTCACCATCTCGAGAGGTCTGGTGTCTCGCTGCTTCCCAGGCGTAGACCGGTGGGGGATACATCTTGTTGGAGTTGGCTATGGTTCTGTGTGGCCTCTAGCCCTTGTTCCCACCACTGTCCTGTCCATCCCAGCCATGGCTTCGTGCATGTTCAGAGCCACAGAGAACTGGTGGGGCCTCCTGGCAGGCTTTTCTGCCCTCGTGCTGCTGCACCAAGGGGTTCTGCAAAAGATTTGGAGGCCTTTCCATTTCCCAGAGTTTCATTCCGAAACACAGCATGAGTGCCCTATGCGCTGAGATCGCCTGGAGCTGGAGTTTCTTCGTGTGAACACACATGCACATGCGCACCCTGGCTTGCATCTGTGCGCATGCACGCCCACATACACGCAGGCGCAGAGCTTCTTCTCAGGGACTTTCCAGAATCTTTGTTTCTAGCTGGGAGTGGGGTGGGGATGCTGAGGGTTTAGGGTGTGCTTTCTCTTACTAAATGTTCTTCCAAAACTTTTTGTTTATGGTATAAATTTTATGCTACCAGTCCTTAAAGGTATAGGCTTTAGTTGTTTTTTTTTTTTAAATTAAAAAAAAATTGTGTTCTTGAGGCTCACAGGGCTTGTCTCTGCTTTTCTTATGAATCATCCCTCCCCTGGGGGCCATAAATGCTGTTGCTTGAAGAGAGGGAGGGCAGAGCATACCAGGAAATGGTAAGAGAGGGAGGGAAACCCCATTTACTATCTCAAAGCTATGAAACCAGCTGTAAATCAGAAGCTTCGTTTGAAGGTTTTACAGATTCCAGGTTGCAGAAGACTAAGGGTCCAGGCTACATGTTCTTGGTCTGTAGAACTCTGAGTGATAGCAAATTGTTGGTTTCAAAAGAAGGCACAGAGCGCTGAGGACCAGGCAGGGGTTCCTCTGATCTGATCAGCAAATGGAACCTGGCTTTAAGAATCATCCACTTCCCTGTGAACTTTTAATATTTTTTATTTAAAATTTTTATTGTTTCCTTTGAGTAAGCTGCTTCGTGGCTGGAGTTCTTCTCTGACTCACTTTGTAGAATAATCCTATAATTTTTTTTTTTAAGATTTTATTTATTTATTTGACAGACAGAGATCACAAGTAGGCAGAGAGACAGGCAGGGAGAGAGGAGGAAGCAGGCTCTCTGCTGAGCAGAGAACCCAACGTGGGGCTCGATCCCAGGACCCTGGGATCATGACCTGAGCCGAAGGCAGAGGCTTAACCCACTGAGCCACCCAGGCGCCCTGAATAATCCTATAATTGAGGGTATGCACCAAATGGCCTAAGAAACTCGTGGAAAGACCACACTCTTGGCTCCACATGCCGGAAGCCATGTATGTACAGGGGTTACTCAGACTTCTTGAATCCTGCTTCAGATGGCTACGAGTTCCTGGAAATCCTGAAACAGGTTGCTAGGGATAATACCGACAACCCTGACCTGAGCATTGTGTGGATCGACCCGGATGACTTTCCTCTGGTGAGTGGCTCGGCCCTGGGCACTGGTCTTGGTCACCTTCATAGTCTCGTGTGTGTGTTCGGTGTGAGACCCAGAAGCATGAAGAAGGGTGGGCACTAGGAGGAGCATGTGCAGAAACACAGTGTGACCACTCCTATCTTGTGTGGAAGACCTTGGCAACATGGTGGGACACCATTGACCTTCATACTGGGTGCTGGCACTGACATGGTTAGACCCACCATTCTCACTCCCTGGAGACCAGGGATCTGAACCACCCACATGAGTGAGCCGGGTGAAATTCTTCTACTAGTACTTCCATTCCTGTCCCCCATCCCACCACCTCCCTTGTTATAGCCTCTTTCATGTTTTGGGCGGGGACCATCATTCATAGGCAGCCTGAGTTGCTAAGTAGTAAAAATTAGACTTGACCATTTTGCATAGGGTGAAGAACTTCGTGGAGAGCAGGAGCAGCCTCTCAGAGAGCAGAGACTCTATCTTGTTCATTGTGTTCTCCCAGGTCCTAGCATGTTGAATGTGTAAGAAAGTTAAGGACCAGACTCTTGCTAGTGTCAGTGATCAATGGTCAGAAAGCCTTGATTATGCTTAATTTTAAAGGGAATAAACAGGAGCCCAGTGGTGATGACAATGGATGTAGCCAATATACTGTATGCCTGGAAGTATAGTAAATTCTTTACAGGCACCATCTCATTGAACCTTCCTATCAATCCTGTGAGGCAGGGACCGTCATAATCCCCATCTGACAGATGAAAACAAAGCTACTAAGTGGGAGATGAGATATCACAACCCGGATCTGTCTGATGCCAAAGATTTGTCTACTAGTCAGTCAATAGACTTTAGGTAGAGCTAACTGCTGGTAATCAGTACATGTTTAGTTATCATTAGGTTATAAATGATATAATTCTTCTGGGAATTATTGTTTGTTGCATAGGACCTGACTGATCATATCATGATTAAATAGTCAAATTGGGGGAGTTGAATGATTTCAAGGGTCCTGAAAACCAGTCTTACTTACAGAATAAGACAGAGGCAGAGACTTTCATGATATCTGATGCTTCAGATATCATGAAAGTAATTCTTGGGTGATCGTAACAAAGTCATGGCCTCATAAGACCCTAAATACTATAACTTTTTTTAAAAGATGTTATTTATTTGAGAGAGAGAGAGCGCACATGAGCAGCAAGAGGGGCAGAGGGAGAAGCAGACTCCCAGCTGAGCAGGGAGCCTGATGTGGGGCTCAATCCCAGGACCCTGGGATCATGACCTGAGCCGGAGGCAGACATTTAACAGACTGAGCCACCCAGGCACCCCTAGTATAACTTTTTAGTTAGCCTCTGCCTGGCTATATTTTGAGTTTATCTGGACTGTTCTGTTGTGTAAGCTTGCAGATGGTCTGCAGTGGTCCCAACCTGCTCTGTCTGTTTGTTTGCCTTGGTGTTTGCAAAGGAGAAATCTCCAGACTGTTTGGATATCCAGGTTCCTGACCATCCCCGCTCCCCATCAGGCCACTTATTTGCGTTGGAGACTTTTTGCCACTGAACATTTATTTGCATTGTCTTAGCCGCATGGCCCCTGATTCCTTTAGCCCTGTCCCAGTCAGGGATTAGTCCCTGCAGATCCCAAGCCTGGTGAACAAAAAAGCCCTCCCTTTACTTGCATGACACTTCCTTGTCTCCACCACCACCCCCTCCCCACCATCTTGTGGATCCGAGTAGTTCAAGGTAAGGGATTTTTAAATGGGACATTGAAAGAGAAATGAAGGAAAATGGCTCCCTGACCACTCATGAAGTATAAAAGAGCCATGGTCATTTGGGAATTGACATTGGGCCATCTCTGTAATATTCTTCCTTACAGCTGTAGAAGCTTTTATAGTACATGTTTTCATAGTTGGTGTTATGACCTCTTTTTTTTCCACACTTATTTAAAGTGTTTGAGGGTTGAGGCCAAGGCTTCAATTTTTGAAGTGCCCACAGCTGTCTTGGAAACCTTTAAGTGACGGTGACCGATGAAGGGATGGTAGGTGGGTCCAGCCACAAAATGTGGCTTTGACAGGGAATGCCCTCTGCCTGCTGTCTAATCTTATTTTTTGTTGTTTCAGCTCGTTGCCTATTGGGAAAAGACTTTCAAGATTGATCTATTCAAGCCACAGATTGGGGTGGTGAATGTGACAGATGTGAGTATACCCGGGTCACTGCTAACCTGTCCTGTTTTCTGCCATGCAGCCCAGACTGTGACCCCATGGATAGGAGTCTAGCCTCCCCTGAAATGAGCAGGACCCTTGGCTTTGCCCAAGCTGTGTGTGTCCCCAGCCTAGTCTCTGAGCCTGTCTCAATCTATGGCTTCAGGACTGGGCACTTCCTGGGAAATGCATGGGCATGTTTCCTTTACAGGGCCAGCCCATCCTGTTTTACTGACTCTTTGGAACTTTCTACCCAAGTATTTCCACCAACTTTCCACCCTGTATTTTCTCCTAAGGCCCAACAACAAACTATTCTTACACAAAGGAACCCACACGTGAAGCTGCCATTGCACAGGGGGTGATGGAGGGGGCTATGGGGCAGGGGGAAAGGAGGAAGATCATGAATGAGTTTGGAGGGCCACCCCTCACCAGGCAGACAGCTGGAACCGAGGGTGGAAAAAGCTGGTGTGTAGTAGACAGGCAGATCGTGGGGAATTTTGAACCTCAGTCTTGACTGCTGATACAACTCCATCATAACAAAACAGAAGGGAAGACAAACACAACATATAATGAGCAAATAAATAATGGACAGAAAGAGATTGTCACAGAGAAGTCATTAGAGGCATAATTAATTGTGGTGGGAATGCTTGTGAGTGGGGGCCAGTTAGCAATGTCCTGTTATCCTGTTGGTGGATGTTCGGTCACCTGGGGGATTCTACATTTATTTATTCTGTACACTGCTTTTTAAATTAATAATAGTAATTAATACTGTCAAAAATTTACTCCAGTTAAAACATTTATAAATGGAACATTTGAAATATATATGGTGAAAAGCAAAAGTATTTCCCACTCCCTTGACCTCTTTCTTAGTCCCATTCCCTGAGGGAAACATTGGTGATAGTTTCATGGCTATCCTACCGGAAACATCATATACATGTTTGTCATTATTATTACATAGGTATCTTGTAGATACAGTCATGAAATCGGAAGAAAAAAACAGTGCAAATATAGTTACGATTCATAATAATACTTGATTTCGATACCCCTGGGAACTGTTCCAATCTGGGCTACCTCCCCCGCCACCCCCCAGCACTTTCCAGACCTAATGGCGGGGATCAGGAGGGCAGGCAGTTTAGGGTGGGACGGGGACTCTGCCAGGCAGTGCTGCTGATCTGGAGGGACTACTTCAGGGTGGGGGGGTAATGCAGAAGGTAGGGAAGATGGCATTTCAAAGAGGGGTGGGGTGGGAGCAGCTACCAGTCCTGGTATGCTGGGCCTTACTCATTCCCCTGACAACCCTCAGAGCCTCACCTCCATACCTGCTCTCCTTCCCCAGAGACTTCTGTGGGCACATTACACACACACACACACACACACACACACACACACTGGAACGCACGCTTCCTTTGACATCGCACAAGCAGACTGCTACACATAGCATTCTGCATCGAGGCATTCCCATGAAACCGTGTGCACATGTTCCCTATGACAGGGCCCAGCTGCTTGGAATCCTCTGGTCTGCTGGTCCTTCCATCACTCACTCCCTCACTCTGTCCCTTGCTGCAGGCTGACAGTGTCTGGATGGAGATCCCTGATGACGATGACCTGCCCACAGCCGAGGAGCTGGAGGACTGGATCGAAGATGTGCTTTCTGGAAAGATAAACACTGAAGATGATGACAATGAAGATGGGGATGATGGCGGCGACGATGAGGATGAGGACGATGATGATGGTGATAATTCTGATGAGGAGTCTAATGGTGACAGTGACGATGATGATGAGTAGCTCTGACTCCAGCTGGTGGATGAAAGCACAATCATAGCTGCCCACTGCCCTGCAGATAGCCCCGGGGGGCGGCAAGCAGCCCTGGCCCCCTCCCACCAGCACCTTCCCCCTTTTCCTATCCCTTTTCCCACCCCCTTATTGGGAGCTGTACCGTTCCACAAATGCCTCTAAACCCAGTAATCCCACTCAGCAGGGACAGGTGGGGAATTATTCCCATGTGGACTGTCTTGATTGTCTTGGAAAAGCTCGTTCTTTGCTAGACCTTCCATGGTCATGGCAGTGCCAGAACCTGGCAGTCTGGGGACAACAATCCCCTGACACCTTGACTCAAGTTTACTTGTTGTCTTTGATGGGACAGTAACAGAAATTGACAGCTGGAAAACTCAAAGCATAGAGTGATCTCACAGTCAGAGCCCAGGGAGACCCAAGATTAATCCATTTAGCCCCTGTGCCTAGAACATCAGTGACAATCCCTCCTTAAGGCAAGAGGTTCCCTCCTAGGAGAGGCTCAGCCTTAGAAACAAGTTTCTAAATCAGGTTCTCTTGGCTCTATTAAACTGATTATGTCAAGTGTTTGTCACGCCATTATGAACTCAGATCCAAGTGTTTGGACAGCTATCGGGAGGCCTTGAAACACATGTGTACAGATGTCCCAATCATTTTTGGTATGTTGGGATATGGGATGGGAGGTTGATTTGCTTTCTGAACTTCCCTTTAGTGACAAGTCTCACATGATAGGCAAGGGGGTGGGGGAACTGGAAGGATGAAATGTTTTCAGTTTTTCCTGCTGGGTTCATGCCCCTGATTGAGTCAGCTGGCTTCCTAGCCTGAGCTGGGATCTGGATACCCTTTTCTGTTGCTGTGAGTGAGCCCTCCCATTGGGAGGGAAAGTTGGTTTATCCAGAGGTCGATCAATGCTCCATTTGTCAGCCCTCCCACACTTGAGCAGGACAATAGCTAGAGTTCATAATGGTGCCCTGAGGCACTGAGAAAACCCCAAAGTGCCTTCCAAACTATCTAGAGGTTACCTTGTGCTCGTAGTTTTAGCATTAAGAGTGCATTTATCATGTTCTAATTTATTTTCAATCTCTTAACACATGTGTAAGACACTGTGCAAATTCTTTGGAAATAGAGTAATCCTTTTATGGAACAGTAGCCAACTAACTGTCATTAAACTTTGAAAATATTGAGACTATCTTAAAAATCCTCACTTCGTTTTTCTGATCCTGTCATTCTCTCTTGGTTCCTGTTCTACCTCTCTGTTCCTTCTTTGTTTTCCTTTCTGCCCCCTCTTCCCCTTCCTGCCCTTTAAATGACAGTGTGTCACAGTATCTCTCAACCCTAACATTCTTCCAAGGTACTATCATCCATGTCCATCAGCTGCCACTTGTGTACGATGACCTCCAAATTTGGGTCTTTAACCTTGACCACTCTCTTAGTTTTAGACCCACCCATTCATCTTGGTTCGGAGGGTGCACAAGCAATTCAAACAATAGAGCGAAACCCCAATTCACTACCTTCTGCCCTCAATTCTCCTCCTCTAAATGGTGTCCCAGATTGGAAGAGTGATATCACCACGTATCTACTTGTCTAGGCAACCAGAAGGGGCATTTTACACATACTCCCAGTCATGGAAATTGTCCTTTAAATTATAGTACATATTTACTTGTCTGTCCTTTTGTTAAATTGTAGGCTTCTTAGAGGAAAGGAATTAATTTATCTTTGTATCTGCAGCAGCTAGCACTCTGTCCAGCACAAAGTGGATGTTCATTTATTGAACTGATGGGTGAATAACTGATTAACCAGAATACCTATAATTCCCCAGCACTGTTGGATAACAATGGTTACAAGACCTCCTTATTTTTATTTCTCGCCCTCACAAAGTGAGGCAGACACGTGCCAAGCTGGACTATGACGCCATCTGGCCAGATCCAAGCACACCTCTAATAAGCTCTTGGGGAGGTACATTTTCAAAGCAATCATTGAAGTTAATCTTTCAACTAGCCAAGGAATGTGGTCTGTCATGAAAGTGGTCTATTCTCCAACCCAGGAAAATTCTCTTATTCCTGGAGGCCTGAGTAATATGCATTAAGTTAATGTGTGGTAGTCCCGCGTTAGAAGACTGAGTGGTAAGCTAGTACTGTCTGTAAGTAGTAGTGCTGTTCAGTCATTGGTCTAAGCCTTTTTAAACTGGTATTTATTGAATGTTTGGTATGTGCCTGAAGCACTAGGCTACGTGGTTTACAGGTATTATGTCATTTAATCCTTACAAAGTTCTTATGAAGTCTTGTTATTACCCCCCATTTTACAGATGAGGAAACTAAGATGCAGAAGGCCCAAGAAATTTTCCCAGGGTCACACAATCACTTTAAAGGAGTATAGGGGTACTTGGGTGGCTCAGTGGGTTAAGCCTTTGCCTTCGGCTCAGATCATGATCTCAGGGTCCTTGGATCGAGTCCCTCATCGGGCTCTCTGCTCAGCAGGGAGCCTGCATCCCCCACTCTCTCTGCCTGCCTCTCTGCCTACTTGTGATCTCTCTCTGTCAAATAAATAAAACCTTTAAAAAAAATAAAGGAGTATAAGCATAACCCCATTTTTATACTTAAATCAAGGATTTCGATGAAATTAAATTCCTTAAGTTAATCAATTAAAGGATTCCATTTCTTTTCCTCAGATAGTGTCTTGAGATGGACTCAAGTGAATTTCCCATAATCCTTTTCATAGCTTATGCCAAGATACTCTTTTTCTTTTCCTTCTGGAGGCCATAATTACCTTATTCCGTATTGGAAATGGAGGCTAATTAAAACTGCAAGGACTTGCCATCCTGTTGGGGGAAAAAAATCGTTGTGTTATCAAGAATGCATGATCATTGTCAGTGTATTTTTTAAAAAGATGTTTATTTGAGAGAGACTGCACACATGCATATGGGGGGAGGAGGAGAGGGAAAGGGAGAAGCAGATGCCTTGCTGAGCATGGGGCCCGATGTGGGGCCTGATCCAAGAACCCTGAGATCAGGACCTGAGCCAAAACCAAGAGTCAGATGCGCAACTGACTTGGGCTACCCGGGCACCCCCACTTAGTGTATTTTTTAAAAAATAACATCTCATCACTAGAAACAAGCTTGTCTTTTCCATAATAAGGCTGTGTACTGTCTAGGCCCTAGTTCTAACAATGCAAGAGGCCCACACTGGTAATAATGTCACTTGATCATTACTAAGTAGCTTTTGATCAAAAATCTTTGATACGTGCAAACACACACATGCTTCCTAAGTGCACATGGGTCCTGGGGCTCTGCCCTTCAACTTCCCACTCTCACCAGGGTGTCTCAACCCTGCTCAGTGAGCATCAGAATATTGTCTGCTGAACTTACTTAGAAAACACAGATGCCTTTCACCAGCCCAGACACCGTGACATGCTACCTCCAGAGCTGGGGCCTGACAGTCTGTATTTTAGAAAGGGTCACTGGGGACTGACACAAGCCAGGGCAGGGACCGAAGCTCGTCCACAACCTAAGGTCATCTCACCCAGCTGGTGGTTACCAACATCTTCTGTCTCTAGCCAGGCTCTCCTGTTTCCAAAGCCCTCACCCCAACTGTCTCTCCTGGACAGCTTCATCTGGAGCTCCCATAGGGACCTCGGATCAACACAGCTTTGGGGTTTAAAGATCTCCCCAAAATTAGGTCAAGAAGTCAGCAGTGTAACATAGTAATTATTAATAATAATTAATAATCACTGTTATCATAGAAGAACAGCAATTTGGAGAGACTTAGAGATGAGGAAAATGGGCTTCCCAGCTTCCGACCTCTAATTGCAGGCCACCCAAGGGAATCAGACTTGTAGAACAGACCCAGGCCATTGCTGCTCAGTGGGCAAGGATGAAAGGGAGGAGAAAAAACTGGACTTTCAATTATTACTTCACGCCAAGAACTTCACCCCCAAGAAACATGGACAAAGGGCTATTGCCCACTAACCAGGTAACTCACTCTATCTCTGGATGGGAGTAAGGTTTAGGCAAAAGGCCAGCAGCAGTCCGGAAAAGATCCTTCTTCATAGAAGCAATGGAGTAGGGAAGAGACAACCTCCTCCAACAATGCTCACTCAAGCCGGAAGCCTTAGAGCCATTTGTTGTGCCCCGCTTCCGCATTGAATAGGGAACAGGTGCCGTGCTCCCCTCTCGCCCACCCCTACTGTGTTACTGAGGCTTTATGGTCTCTCACCTGGCTTGCCGCAAGGTTCCAGTGGCTCTCCCATCTCACCGCTGTGATCAAGTGATCTCTCTGAAATGAGAAGCTGATCATGTCACACACATGCTTAAAATTCGTTAATGGTTCTCTATTCCCAGTAGGTGTTTAAAAAACTTTTTTTGTTTTAAGACTAAGAGGCTAAAGAGTGAGCTATGAATGGAACGATTGTTGGCTGCTGAATGTAGAGCTGGGCTGTGTGGTGGAAGGTTGAGGAGGAGAAACAACGGGATAGGTCTTGTAAAACCCAAAGTCCTTGAAGTGTCTCTCCTCCCTTTGAGGAAAGCAAAGTCTGAGGAGGGCTGATGCTGATGCTGGCGATGTCTGGGTTCCTGGATTAGCAAAGCATCGGACTGAATGGGGCAATTTCCACTGTGTACATGGAGTATCTGTCTGGAATTAGGGCGGCCACAAGCCTCATTTGGGATTATAGCACCCAGTTGTCATTTTAGCAGAAGTTGGGTCAGCATCCCCAGCACCAGGCTAGGGGGTCAGGTGTAGAACAGAATTGATAAAAGCCAATTTCCTTTGCAGGGCACGCAAGGTCTGTGTGAGCTACCTTTTGTCCACTTTACCAGCCTCATCTCTCACAAAGCTTCCCAGCCACCTGCCTCCTCTACACTTAGAACCAGAAGTTGAGAGAAACTGCCTGGCTGCTTATAATGTCGAGCCTTGGCTCATGCTCTTCCATCTACTAGAATGCCTGTCTTTTCCCATCTGCACCTGCCTGGCAAACCCCCAACTATATTACCTGAGGTGTGAAGCGGGGTACATTCTGTGCCTGTTCCAGTCGTACCCTAGGTGAATTGGCCCCCTCGTGCACTGAACCTCGCTGTAATTTGTACAGAGCTCTTTTACAGAAATCACAATTTATCATGCATGTATGTCTTCCTCCCCCTGCTAGTCTGAAAGCAAGCTTAGGGAAAAGGCTTTAGCAGCTTCCATTCTATCCTCAGTGCCTATATTTTGATAGGTACTTAGTCAACTTGTTTGCCTAAGAGAGTACTTAGCTGACAAGTTGACTAAGTACTCTCTAAGCCCTATGTAAAGCTAATTTAACAGTGATTAGTACCACGAAGAATGTGCTAGTGATTATCAAAAGCTCTTAGTACCATTAAAAATATGCTAGTGACTATCAAAAGTCAATCAGGACCTTTTTGGCAATGGTATCATCTTTTCAGATCCACTTAGAATAGCAAATCGGGATTAAAAAAAAAACTCAAAACACAGAATCTCTTTGGTGCAGTGGGGAGTTTCTGATGTGCGGTGCTCTTTACTTAGGTCAGCAAAGTCTCCTAGAAATACAGGCGTCATGATGGCAAGCAAAGCAGCATGGGGATGACAACAGAAGTCCCAGGCCCCACTCTCTGGGAACAGAATGCCAACAGCCACCTAAGTGCCCACTCACTTTTTTTTTTTTAAGATTTTATTTATTTATTTGACAGAGAGAGATCACAAGTAGGCAGAGACGTAGGCAGAGAAAGAGGGGGAAGCAGGCTCCCCGCTGAGCAGAGAGCCTGACGTGGGGCTCGATCCCAGGACCCTGAGATCATGACCTGAGCCGAAGGCAGAGGCCTAACCCACTGAGCCACCCAGGCGCCCATCACTCACTTATTTTAATGTATCTGCTGACCCACCCAAATGTTTGCAAGGTAAATTAAGGACCTCTTTTGAATTAATCTGGTATTTCACCAATCTGAACTCTTCAGAGTAGTGATGGCTAGAATTCCTACTGTTAACCCTAGGATCCTTCAAAATCCCAATTATTCCCATAAAATAATCATATATGATTAGGGTATAGGTGGTAGCTTCTGCACAGAGTAAGCCATCTTGTTCTCATTCACTCATTCACTCAAATATTCAAGGCTTGTTTAATAAATGCAGATCCCAGAAGGCAAAAATGAGTGGGTGAGATCAGAGGCCTGGGCAAACGTCTAGAAAAGAAAACTGTTTCAAGTACCTTGTGTTATTATCTTTTTGTCTGAACTATTAAAATTCTCACAACCTCAGTTACACATTCAGATATAAATACACAGAACCCAGCCAGAGGTCAAGTGTAGTTTTGTTTTTCCATATCCACATGAGCCCATATACCTACCTAGAAGATGCTTGAGCGACGTTTTGACACCGACAGGAAATTGCCAAGTCTCCCTGGAAGCTGGGATACTGCCCATTGCTCTGCCGCTGCGGGGGGGGGGGGGGGCCCTGTCTCTGGCCTTGGGTGTGTACGCAGTGACTTAATGGGTGCCATCCTGATACCCCTTGCTCCACTTCCATAATCTGATCGTTTATCATCTGGTTGTCTGAAAACTCTTCCAAACCTCTATAGCTCTATGATGGGTAATGAATGAAAAAGAGAAGAGTCCTTGGTTTATGTCTGCAGACAACTCGAATCTTTTCCCTAGCAGGGTTTGCTTTGCAGATATAAATTATGCACGTCATGGCCGATGGCCCAGAGATATACAATAAATCTTCAAATCGATTGCTTTCTCTAGTTCCTGTCCATGGAATAGGTAAGAATTTGTGCACTATCAGTACTCTATGCAGATAAAAAAAAAAAATAGCTGAGTGTAGCAGAAGCCAAGTTCCGTTTCTTTTTTTTTTTTAATTAATTTTATTTCAAGTAGGCTCCACACGCAATGTGGGGCCTGAACTCATGAGGTCAAGAGTCACATGCTACACCCACTGATCCTGCCAGATGCCCCCATCCCACCCCGCCAACATTTCTTTCTCATATTATCAAGTTGTTTTTTTTTTTTTTTAAAGATTTTATTTATTTGTTTGAAAGATAGAGATCACAAGTAGGCAGAGAGACAGGCAGAGGGAGAGGAAGGGAAGCAAGCTCCCTGCTGAGCAGAGAGCCCCATGCGGGGCTTGATCCCAGGACTCTGGGATCATGACCTGAGCTGAAGGCAGAGGCTTTAACCCACTGAGCCACTCAGGTGCCCCTATCAAGTTTTCTTTTTAAATAGACCTATTTTTAAATTAGTCAATAATTAAAATTGAATTACCAAGCCACTCACAAAAACAATCCAATATTCACTCCCCCTCACAAATCCAGGGTCTGACACTTTTCTTCTCCTTTACTTGATTCAAAGACCTTTATTCACTTGATTTATTCAAAAGGCCCATTTCATC